TATATATATATATATATATACTGTATAAGAAAAAAATCAAAAGAAAAGAAAGGAAGATAAAACCATGAATTGAAAAAGGAAAAGATGTTAGGGGAGCATCGGTCTTTGTGTAAACCAAAAGTATAAAAAATATTTTTCCAGCTTGTCAGTTTCCTAGTGTCGCGATATCGCTATATCTCTCTCTCTCTCTCTATATATATATATATATATTGTAAACACACAAGTACACAACTCTAATAGGCATCGCCGCACATTTGCTTTCGACATTTGGCTTCCTTTGCTCACTTGTTTTTGTACAAAACCTTTCTTTCTTCTCTTGCATTTTTTTGTTTTCCTATTTTGTTTTTTGAGAAGGAAGGAAGGAAAAGATGGGGAGAAGACCGTGCTGTGAGAAAACGGGATTGAAGAAAGGGCCATGGAGTGGTGAAGAAGATCAGCTCTTGACCAATTACATTACTCTCCACGGCCATCCCAACTGGAGAGCTCTCCCTAAATTAGCCGGTAAAAGTACTACTTAGTATTTTGCTTTTCCTTGATTTCATGACTAGTGTGTGGGCAGCAATAATGATAATTAATGGGGGGGGGGGGGGAATGTGAAAAATGATTCAATTAGGGCTACTACGGTGCGGAAAAAGTTGCAGGCTTCGTTGGATTAATTATTTGAGACCAGACATCAAACGTGGCAATTTCACTTCTCTTGAAGAAGATACCATCATTCACTTGCATCATATCTTAGGCAACAGGTTCCTCCTCCTCCTTTTTTCTCGTATATATGAGAGATATTACTTTTGATGAATTGAAAAGTTCAAAGGATGAATTTTGCCTTTGTAGAAAAGTAGTATATATCATTGCTTTGGAAAAATCGTTTCTTTCAAGTGTGACTCTAGAAGATTACTACTCTCCACAATCTTTCTGCACATTAAGCTTTTGTCAATATGTTAATTACATCTGTGTGACTGTGTGTGTGGTGGGGCTACGAACCGAGAAGATTCCAACCCGTGATTGCCTATTTGCCTTTCTCCATTACCTAAATTTCAATATACATATACCTTTTTTTTTACTTTCCTAATTATACTTTAAAAAAAACTTGTATAAACAAATTTATCACTACTAGACAAGATAGGCACTGTGATCAGTGTAAGACATGTGCAACTTATTATTATTTTTAACTATACACATGAGAGGGTTCAATAGCTTTTCTTCTTCTTCTTTGTCTTCTACTCTCCCTCCTATTAGTAAAATACTCTCCTTCTCATTAATTGAATAAAGTTACAATTGGGGGTTTATATACAAGTTGACCAGGCCTAAACCAGAGCCTCAATACCAACTTAATACAGCTATACAGACTCCAAACTATAGAAATATATACAAATGAACTATATACTATGATAGTCCCCCTCAAGATGGGGCAAAGATGTTTCGCAGACCCATCTTGCTTACCAAAGTCTGAAAGGGAGCTGGATGTAGAGCTTTAGTAAAAGGATCTGCAAGTTGGATGTGAGTAGAAACATGAAGTAATTTGAACAAACCTGCAATTAACCTTTCACGAATGCTATGACAATCTGATTCGATGTGTTTGGTGCGCTCGTGAAAGACTGAATTGTTGGCGATGTGGATAGCTGCAGTGTTGTCACAAAACAAGAGAGTTGGCTTGCTCAGAGGAATCTGAAGTTCTTTGAAAAACTGAGTGAGCCACATCAACTCATCTGTTGCAAGAGACATGCTGCGATATTCAGATTCAGCTGATGATTTGGAGACAACATTCTGCTTTTTAGACTTCCAAATGATGAGAGATGAGCCAATAAACATGCAGTAGCCTGAAGTAGATCGCCTGGTGTCTAGGCAAGAGCCATAATCTGCATCTGCAAAAGCCTGAATTTGAAGCTCAGCTTTAGAGGAATAGAACAAACCTTGACCAATGGTGCCTTTGATATAATGAAGAATCTTATAAGCAGCCATTTGGTGAGATTCTCTAGGAGCCTCTGAATACTGGCTAACTTTGTTCACTGCAAAAGTAATGTCAGGACGTGTAATTTGCAAATACATCAAGCGACCAATAAGACGTCTATAAGCTTTGGCATCAACAAAATCACCACCACTGTCCTTAGCAAGTTTCACACTAGGATCCATGGGGATATGAGAAGGCTTACAGCCAAGCAAACCTGTTTCATCAAGGAGATCCAAAGCATATTTTCTTTGACTGATAGGAATGCCTTCAGCAGATCTGGCAATTTCAAGTCCAAGAAAATACTTCAAAGGACCAAGATCTCTCAATTTGAAAGAGGATTTGAGTTGAGCCTTGAGATCATCAACTGCAGCATCATTATTGCTAGCAATGATGATATCATCAACATAAACCAGTACACATAAGAAGATCTGAGGAGTAATTTTCAGAAAACAGGTATGATCACAATGAGATTGAGTAAACCCCAGAGCAGTGAGAGTGACTTTGAATTTGAGAAACCACTGTCTAGAGGCTTGTTTCAAACCATATAGAGACTTTTTCAATCTGCAGACCGCATTAGGAGGAAGAGAGTCCCCCTTTCTTGTAGCATATCCTGGAGGCAATTTCATATAGATTTCTTCATCTAAATCACCATTAAGAAAGGCATTTGAGATGTCTAATTGATGTAAGGTGAAACCATATATAGCAGAGATTGCAAGGATGAGCTTAACAGATGTGAGCTTGCAGACAGGAGAAAAAGTATCATTGAAATCAACCCCTTCTTGTTGAGTGTACCCTTTGGCGACTAATCTGGCCTTATACCTCTCTATGCTGCCATCAGCATTGTATTTGATCTTGTAAATCCATTTACAGCCAATAGGAGATTTGTTAGGAGGTAAAGTACAGATTTCCCAGGTTTGAGTAGTTTCCAGAGCATTCACTTCTTCATCCATAGCTCCACACCACACAAGAATTTCTTTTGCCTCAGTGTAGGTAGAGGGTTCTTTATTTTTGTCTATGGAAACCAAGAATGAAAGATAAAGCTCTGACACTTTATCATAAGAAAGAAAAGAGGATATTTCATGTATGGTTGAAGATCCTACTGAATGACAGTAGTAATCTTGAAGATAAGCAGGCTGTTTGATTCTCCTATGTGATGTTTGAACAGAAGGTTCAGGAACATCATTGGTAGAACTAGCAGAAGGCATAGATTCTACAGAAGATGAAGATGGAGAAGCATCAACATCAGAAATCTGAGGAGACATAGGAGAGGTGCTAATCAGATCAGGAAAACAATTTTTAGTTTCCTGAGAAAGATCTGTTTTAGCAAATGGGAAAAGCTCTTCATGAAAAACAACATGTCTGGAAATGATAATGTCATTAGTTTCCAGATCAAGAAGTTTATAGCCTTTAAATCCGGATGGATAGCCTAAGAAGGCACAGGCTCGAGCTCGGGGATCAAATTTATGCCTATTTTTGGGTGAGGTTGAAGCATAGCAAAGACAACCTAAGACTTTCAATTCATCATAGTTAGGAAGTTTCTTTGTTAAAACCTCATAAGGACTTTTGTCCTCTAGAACAGGAGCTGGCAAGCGATTTATGAGGTGAACAGCAGAGAGCACACAATCACCCCAGTAAGCAAGAGGAAGATGAGATTGAAAAAGAAGAGCTCTAGCAACATTAAGAATATGCTGATGTTTTCTTTCAACAACAGAGTTTTGTTGAGGAGTCTCAGGACAGGAATGGTAAGGAAGAATGCCTTTAGTTTTATAAAAATCAGTGAAATTAAACTCTTGAGCATTGTCAGACCTAACCCCCTTAACTCTAGTCTGAAATTGATTTTCCACCATATTAATGAAAGAAGGAAAGATATGAAGAACATCAGATTTTTGTTTCATCAAATATACCCAAGTAGCTCTAGAATGATCATCAACAATGGTTAAGAAATACTTAAAACCATCATGAGTGGGAACAGAGAAGGGACCCCAAGTGTCAATATGAACTAACTCAAAGGGTATTTTTCTGATATTATTTTGAGAAACAAAAGGAATATGTTTTTGTTTTGCCAAATGGCAAGTTTTACAATGAAAATCTTTTTGGATTTTTGGTTCTTTTTTGAAATTTAAAACAGGTGAAAGAGACTGAAGTTTATAAAAGGAAGGATGGCCTAACCGTTTATGCCATAGATCATGAGAAGTGACAGAGGCAGCGACAAAAGAAGCTTTATTGGTAGGCATGTCAATGGATTCGATGTCCAGAAAATAGAGGTTAGCGATCTGTCTACCCATTCCAATCATTAAGTCCCGAGAAAGATCCTGAAGAGCACAAGAATTCTCATCAAACCAGATTTTGCATCCCATGGATTTGGTCAAACAACTGACACTTAAGAGATTGAATTTGAATTGGGGAATATAAAGAACATCATGGAGAACTAAATGACTGCCCAAATGAATAGATCCTATGCCAACAATGCTCACTAGACCACCATTAGGAAGATTGACATTGGTGTTAGTGATATTTTGAAAAGTGGAGAAAGAAGATCTATCATGACAGATATGATTAGTAGCTCCTGTGTCTATAACCCAAGCATTGATAACAATAGTGTTACTATAAGTAGAATAGGCATATGGCCTATCAGCACTGGCAAAAGAACAAATGATAGAGGGAAAGAAGGTACCAGGTGCTGGGCCTGTAGGTAAAGAAGAAGGGAGGGAAGACACTGAGACAGCATGAACTTCAGGTGTGATGGTGGAGCTAGTGATTCTGGTGTGAAGAAAGGAAACAATCTGTTGCATCTGTTCTGTGGAGAGGTCATCAGTCACTTTACCATTGTCCAAGGCAACATTGATGTCAGCAGAACCTTCAGAAACAACATTTGCTGCAATGGGAGTTTTAGTAGGACCTTTGAACCGAGGATGACCAACTGGATATCCATTCTTCTTATAACACTTATCCAGGACATGTCCAGTGCGACCACAGAAAGTGCAAATAGGTTTGTCTCTCCTTTGATACTGATAACCACCAGAAGATGAGCCCTGAGAAGACTGTTGAGAAACTTGGAAGGCTGAGGAATCAAGAGAGCCAGTTGCAGGAAGAGTAGCTGATCTTTGAGAATCATCTTGATCAAGCATGTTGTAAACTTCAGACAAAGTAGGTAAGCTCTTCTTCATGAGAATCTGACTTCTGACTGTGTCATAAGTGTTGTTGAGACCCATAAGAAAGTCAATGACGCGGTTAGTTTCTCTTTCAGCCATCAAATCTTCCACAGTGCGAGCAGTGACCTGAAGACTAGAAAGTTCTTCCCAGAGAGACTGAGTCTTAGTATGATAAGAAGACAAGTCCATACTACCTTGACGAAGCGAATGTATCTGCTGACGCAATTTGTACAATCGTGGGAGGTTAGATTTGTGATATCGAGTATAGAGATCTTTCCATATCTCAGTCGCAGTGTTGAAATACAAGATGCTGGAATAGATCGGCTTCGATACACTGTTTAACAACCAAGATTTGACCATACTATTGCATCGCTTCCAAATCAGATAGTAAGGATCAGATTCAAGAGGTCGAGTAATGGAACCATCCACAAATCCTAACTTATTCTTAGCTTCGATACTAGTAGTCATAACTACAATCCAGGTTCCATAGTTTGTTCCATCTAAGAGATCGGGAACGAGAACTAAACCTGGATGATCGGAGCTGTGGAGATGGAAAGGACTGTGAATATTGTCCGGTGAATCCGAGACCACAAACGGAGGAGGAAATGGCTTAGCGCGAGTAGTGAGAACCGGAGGTGCTGAACCAGAAGCAACACGCAACGGAGAAGAGCTACGAGCGTTGCCATGAGAGATCGGAGAATCCATTTCCGGAAGATCCGGTGTAGATGAGCGATACTTCGAATTCGTCTTGCGTTTTCCCATAGAGAATAACCAGAGGTGAAATCGAGAGATGAATGCCGAAATCAAGTCCGATTGAGAAGGGAATCGAAAGAGAATGAAGACGCAGAGGAGCTACAGCGGCAGATCGGATCGGAAAAAAAATGACGACGGCTAACAACCTTTTCTCGGTGAGATTGCGGAATGAGAACCGAGAAAAATTAGAGAGAGCGAGAGCGTTTTTGCTCTGATACCATATTAGTAAAATACTCTCCTTCTCATTAATTGAATAAAGTTACAATTGGGGGTTTATATACAAGTTGACCAGGCCTAAACCAGAGCCTCAATACCAACTTAATACAGCTATACAGACTCCAAACTATAGAAATATATACAAATGAACTATATACTATGATACCTCCCTTTGCTCTCACTAATTACAATGTAGACCGTAGTATTATTAGTTATGTGAACAATTTGCTTGCTTTATAGATCTTTTTTCTTTTTGGTAGATGGTCTGCGATAGCTGCTAAGTTGCCAGGGCGAACAGACAACGAAATTAAAAATGTTTGGCACACTCATTTAAAGAAAAGAGTAGTACTCCACCAAAACCAAGATGATGAAATCAACAAGGAAGCTTTCGTTGATACTACTACTACTGCTGCTGCAAAGAGGCCTACCTCTCCGCAACAACAACAATCTACCAGCAGTGGTGACGTTTCAGCGGTTACAACATCAGGAAACAATAACGACATCTCCAACAACAGCAACAGTAACAGCAAAGACTCTGCCACCTCATCAAAAGATGTTCTTGCAATTATAGACGAGAGCTTTTGGTCAGAAGTCGTATCATCCATGGATTGTAACATATCAGGGGATGATGTGAAGAGTGAGACAAAGATTGACAACAGCTGGGAGGACTCGTTGGACAGAAACCACAAGGATATGGGTACTAATAACTACTCTAAACTTTATAACCATGACATGGAGTTTTGGTTTGACCATCTCACTAGTACTACTACTAGTCTTATAGCTGGAGAAATCTCCGACGACATTTCTGAGTTTTGAATTTTTCTTCTTTCGTAGTTGAGAGAGTTTTAAGAGACGTTTCTTTGCGACCCACATGAATAAAAGTCGTTTACGTTTCCTATATATATGATATATCAGCCCTCTATATAATTATATGCATGAATATATATAAATCTTGAGGTATATAATTCTTGGTTGATTACAAGGTTACATATATCAATATATAATGATGATATATTTTGATATTATGATCGTATCAAGTTTTATGATTGTTTGTGTTTCTTTTGACGTATTGTGATAATTGTTTGTTAATTATAATAGCATAAAAATCTACATATGGTGATCTCTTCTAATGTAACGACTAATTAACTAGTAATCAACATGTTTAGTGGAAGGCTAAATTAAAGAAAGCCTATAATATTGTTGTTTTTAATATTAGCTAGTCGAATACTTTTAAAAGCATATTCCCTTTTTATATGCAAACGAATTACTAATATAATCACATTTTGCAATTCTTCTGGTTTCACTATCAGTAGTGGCTAACCGACAAAAAAAAATACAAATATTAATCAAGGTCCAGACTATCATAACATACTTGTGCAATGTATTAAATTAATTCGATGCTTGTTTAGTTTGTGTGATTTGATGTAAGCCATTCTAATTATTTGTTATTTCCTTGGTGCTTGCCTGTTTTGTTTCATCGCTAGTTATTTCTCGTGATCTCGTAAAATCGTGATTTTACAGAGATTTTGTTGGTATGATACTAGGATTGATAAATAGATAAAAGCTACTAATAAAAAACCTTGAAACGAGATATCTTAAAAAAATTATTACCCAAGAAGCACACCATTGATATTATCGATGATCCAGCGATGACTCCACCACTATAAGTTTGTTTATATCACCGCACAACAAGAAAAATATTAAGCAAAATAGTGATTCTTTGACATATAAAAACAATGAGAAGCATGGAATGATAAAAACGTGCTTGACAAGTGACAACTAAGTGATGATACTGATGAGGATGATGATATTTATCAACGATCACTTTATCAGTCGCCGGACCTACCTCTTTCATGAGCCTAATCCTCCAGTTCACTTTTTTGATATAGCATGACCGACTTCGATTTAAGTTTCTGAGCCAAAGAAAGGGTTTACAATACTCTTGATTACCACCATTTCTGAATCAGCTTCAACAATACGCAACCACACCGTGAGAGTTGGTGCTAGTTAAAGAATTTGGAGCTACTTGGGAGATTTTTGGGTCATGTATATCATATATCAAAGCAACAGTTATCAACCTGTTTGTAATTCCATGATTGAAAACTAAACAATGCCTCCTGAAAACTGAGTTGACAAAAGATTAAATCCTAGTAAATCAAGAACATCACCACCAGTATTATTTCAAACAAACAAAAAACAGAGAAAACAGCTCATTTCAACTGGTGCATAGCAGAGTAAGGTTCAGCTGTATTTGAGTCTCTTTCACTGTCAAATCAGCTGGCGTTACTACCAAGCAAGTCCACCAGTTCGGCTTTCTTCATCTTTGAAACCCCTTTTAGTCCCCGTGACTTTGCTATGCCTCTCAGTTCCGTCAGCTTCAGTTTACTCAAGTCTTGCACGGTTTCTTCCTCAGCTTCATCACTCTCTTCATCAGCATCGTCGAGTGACTCATCATCATCCGATAACACATCTAAAATAGCATCATCATCATCTGATAACACATCTAAAGTAACATCATCGTCGTCCTCCTCTTGAAAAAATGATGATGGCTCTGGTTTCAGCTCTGACTCTGATGCAAGCATAGTTGTCACAGGCCCAGGTTCTAACTCAGTTTCAGGTTCATGCTCAAACTCAGGCTCCTTCTCAGGCTCATTCTCACGCTCATTCTCAGGCTCATCATGCAACTCCGCTGTATCTTTCTTCTGGGTCCAGGTTACGCTGTAACTCGATGCCAGATCGAAAGTTGCCTCGTTGGAATAAGCTGGCGGTGATTTAGATCTCGGTACTGGCGACTTTCTTCTGAAGCTTGATGTTGGTCTGGTAAAGGATGATGCATTATTATCCTTGTTAGCTGAATTGACAAGATTTCCGTTGCGATCTTGTTTGTCGACAGTATCTCCTTGTACATCTCCGTGGCTGCTAAATTTGCTAACTTGCTTCTTACCCTGCTCTCCCGAGTGCTTCCTTAGTAACTTAAGAAGGGAGTCAACAGTTTCACTTTCTTTTCCCTGCCCTTTAGAAGATTCTTCAATCTTTTTTTCTTCTTTCTTTGCAGCAGCACGAGCTCGAAGCTGAGCTTGAACCTTTCTGAAAAGCTCGACAATCTCTTTCTCTCTTGGTCCAGGGGATGAGGTAGCTTGGAATTTGGGGGAGTTAGACAGAGAGAGTAAAGGTCCATTTCTTGAAGACATCATTTCAGAGTTTTCGATATCAAAGTCGTCTCTGCCCTCGTTTTGCCTGTTGCCTCCACGGAAACCATGCTTATTAAGTCTTGAGAAATCAGGATTTCTCCTGTAGCCGCCAGAACTAGCTCGGCACACAAAAGAACTAGTATTGGGGATAGATTTCAGACGTCCATTCTTGTGATCCAGACAGGAAGACCAAGGTAGTATGGCAAGCGTTCTTCTTGAAACACTAGATTTAGAGAAGCAACGGCTTTCTGAAAGTGTGCAACCTGTGTAATTATGAAATTACCTAACAGAGTAAGCTTAAAAGATACCACCAAATAAATTTCGAATGCAATTAATAAACCTAAAGGACAGTACAGACGCATATAAACAGTCCATACACGAATAAGCCAATGTATAATACTCCGAGAATCATTTCATCGAACAACTGGTGGACAACAAAACAAAACAAAACAAAACAAAACCAAACCAAACAAAAAAAAAGTCAAATTATCTGCACACAAGCCGTTTCGGGCTATAGTGAATGGTGCATAAACAGTGGTTGCACACTGAGAATTAAAGGAAGAACCACCAACAATCTTTCCAGCAAACATATAGAGAAGCCTTAACAAATAATCAACGAGAACGACAATTCTATAAAACAAAATTATCAACGGCATGTTAAAGAATGAAAGAGAAAGAGAGAGAGAGAGGAAAGTGAAGTACCAGGGACGTAATCAGAATTCAAATGGAAAGTTCCCGACATCGCCATGAACAGACTTCGGCGAAAGAAGATAGATTTAAGCTTCTTCTTGCATTGCCCTTGGCTTCTCTTCTCTGGTTCCTCGTCTTGGTAACACTAATTCTTGATATTGGGCCTTTTCCAGTTAGATTATAGATATGGGCTTTGCGAATTTACGAAGAGAGATGAACCAAACCGAAGAGATTGTCCTAACGCAAACCAACCAATTAATTCGGTCTACTTTTGGCCACATGTACAATGCTTCCAAACCGAAATCAATTTCATATTATTTATTAATCGGTACAGTCTTGTTCAGCTCGGTTTAAAACCATGTTTTCTGGATTCTTCAAACTTTAAAGAAATGGTCGTTCATAGAGATGAAGCCACCATGATGGAACCTTTTCCTCAACACTCAACAGTATCCGTATCGTATTAAGCTTAGAACCAACGGGCCTACATTTGCCTGTGGCATCTCCCAACCCAATGACACATCTAAATTGGAGTTTAGAACTGAAACAAAGAGACAGTGAAATGTGTGCAAGATGTTTCCTTGTTATTACGCCTTGTGGTCTTTTGCCATTTCATCAACATCAAGTTCCACCGCCAGGATTGGAGAATCCTCTTCCATGGCTAATTCACTGATAGATTAAGACCAAAACATTTCCTGGGTTTATTTTTTCTCAGTCAGAAAAGAATAACAGAGAGATTAAAAACTGAGAGGATACGATAACCTCTTCTCTTACCTGTTACTTACTGGACCATGATCCACAGCTGTCCTCAGACAATATATTGCTCTTCCTACTATGTCCGCCATTGAAATCGGACCAAATGTTCGACTATCATATGCTTCCTATTCACACATACCAAAGTACACAGATTACAGAGATTCAGTTTCTCTTATGTAAACCATCATTATGCAAGAGCGACCTACATAAATAAGAGAGCCGAGAGGCAAGAGCGGAACTTTTACAAGTGTGTGGAGTAATGGAAAGAGTAAAACGATGTACCTTAGATTTCATCTCTTGGTTCTCAGCTACAACCCAGCACTGATCCTTTTCAAGAACAAAAGGCTTGTCTTTCTCATCACTTGAAACCATTTCAGATCCTTCTGTAGCTGCCAATCTTCTGACTATATACTTATTTGTTTCATTCGGGTCCTTCAAGACAACAGCATCTCCAATGAAAACGTACCTAGACAAAACCACAAAAGTCAGATAGGCATCACTTATAAGTAATAATCATGCACATAATTAGATAAGGCTTGAGAACTAGGGGGATTCAACTGATGTTTTAGATACATCAAAAAGCTGAAACGCAGAATTAACATTTTCAACGGACTCATCAGAGTTAATATAGTTATCTGTTCCAACCTAAATAATTCCGTCCAATTCAATCTACATCCAAGTAGGTAGACATACATACGCCCACTATATATTTATTAGAATGATTCAGAGCAAAACAACACAGTCAAAATTTTTGTCTCAAGATCAGCGAAACAGAGAAACTTAGCTCTCCTTCCAAAGACCGTATGCTTGTCTTACGGTTGTGACTTCCAATACAAACTCCAATCCTAGATATCCTCTCTTCCTCCTATGCCTACTTACAACCCCGAAATACACAAAAGGAAATAAAAAATAATCTAAAACCCAAACAAAGACATAGCAACTGATTAGCTACAATTAACTAATGGAAATCAAGAAGCAAGAAAGACAACATAAACAATCCAAAGTTCATGACTTTATCCCGTTCAGATAACTAGCATTCCAGCAGTACAACTACAGAGCCACATTTCATTTAAAACCCGAGTGGTAACTTCAAGGTATATGGAAGTGAAATCTAAACCCTAAACCCTTAATGCCAGGAAACAGACCTTGTATCAACAACTGGTAGCTTACGGACAAGCAGCGTGTTTTCATTTGTTCCCATGGTTGGGGCCATCTCTTGTCCTTTAATCGAGTTGTGTAAGTAGGTTATCCTTCCATAAAATAGATTCTTCATGACTACACCAAGGAGTTCCCGGTCACTGAGCTTCTCTCTAGTATGACTCTGACAGACAGTAACGCAAGGATGGTTTGTAAAACAGATTTTACATGCACACTTACAACTCAAAGAACTGAAAGACATGGATTAAGGCGCAGCAGAAGATACAAGCAGAGGACTATAACAATCATGAAGGTTTGGTTTTCAGGTAATTGGATTTAATCCGATCATACTAAATAATGACCCCTTAGCATAAATTATTCCCTTTTCTTTAATTTTACACATGAAAGTGTGCTCTTTTATGTTTTGTCATAAGGTGTAGTTTACAAACTTACAATCACCAACTAAAAGCATTAAGATTTTGTTTTCATAGGTCGAAAGAAGCAAAATTTCTTGAGCAATGGTGCTCTATGGAGGCAATTTCCTTAAGCTAACTCAACGGAAAATTTAAATCAGAAACCCTAGTCAATTTAATCAAATCCAAGAACCAATTTTTATGAATCATACAAGGAGAATCAGAAAGTTAAAAATCCATAAATCCTGTAAACCAAAGGCAAGGACTGAAGAAAGAGAGAGAGTATTATAAGAAAGAACCTTGAGGCTGAGAGTGAGAGAGTATTCGAGTTTGTGAGCCATGTATCGGACCCAGTTCGTGATGGAGGCCATCGTTGAATGCTAATGACTTTTATCGGAACGGACCTCTTCTCCCCGTCGGTTTTCTCTGCCCCCTCGCCGCCGTGGTCGAACTGTTCTTTTATGGGTTCGTCGGTCATAAAAATCTCGTGATTTCCAAATATTACCAACACAGGTTTAAAGTTTTAAATCACGTTTAAATTAGCCTTGGAACTATTACTTATTTCTCGATTTTTACCCTGAATTTAACAATTGATCAAATTAACCCCCACAAGGAAGCTCCTGACCAAAAAAACTTCGAGTTAGGCTTTGTCAACATGCCACGTGTTCAAAAGTCCATCTTCTCTTCTCTAACTTTCTCTCTCCTGAACGTTTCGTTCCGACAGATTTGCAGACTGAGCTAAATAATCAAAGACAAATACCAAACACATACAACAACTTTCGAAAGGATTTTTTACTTTGATCATCTGCAAGAAACTTCGTCTCAGGTTCTCACTTTTTTTTCTCAATTTTTTTTTTCTCTCTAGTGTCAACTGTCAAGGATCATCACTTGTGATAGATCATAGATCCAGTTTATTGTAATTTTTTTTCTTTCCCTGATCTCTGCCCATTAGATTTTGAAATACTTGGTTGATTGATATCGATTTGTTGTTTACGGTTTTGTACTGTTCAAAATTATTGTAGACCGATGGTGACTCGAAGCTGAATCGGAAAATAAAAATTAGGGTTGTTTAGGGCTTCGTTAAATTTGATAATTTTTGGGGTTAATTGTGCAGGTAGATCATAAGAAAATGGACAAATTGAAGATAGCGGAATGGGGAGAGAAGCTGAAGACTGGTGGAGCTCAGATGAGCAGAATGGTTAGTGAGAAAGTGAAAGATATGCTTCAAGCTCCGACCTTGGAATCAAAAATGGTGGATGAAGCTACTTTAGAGACGTTAGAGGAGCCCAATTGGGGAATGAACATGAGGATTTGTGCTCAGATTAACAATGAGGAGTTTAACGGAACCGAGATTGTTAGAGCCATTAAGAGGAAGATCTCAAGTAAGAGTCCTGTGAGTCAAAGGCTGAGCCTTGAGCTTTTGGAAGCTTGTGCTATGAACTGCGAGAAGGTTTTCTCTGAAGTTGCTTCTGAGAAGGTTCTTGATGAGATGGTTTGGCTAGTCAAGAACGGGGAAGCTGATTCCGAGAACAGAAAGCGAGCTTTTCAGCTTATTAGAGCTTGGGGACAATCCCAAGATCTTACTTATCTTCCTGTTTTTCATCAGACTTATATGGTAAATCTCTCTGAATCTGATTTGCTTATTATGGAAAGACGTTTTCTTTTAAATTCGTGTCATTCTCTGTATCTTCTTATTCCTGCTTGTTTGTTTCTGATCTCTGCTAGAGCTTAGAAGGCGAAAACAGTTTTAACACTCGTGCTGAAGAGAATTCAATGCCGGGACAAAGTTCTCTGGAGTCTCTTCTGCAACGCCCTGTTCCAGTTCCACCACCTGGTAGCTATCCAGTTCCTAACCAAGAACAGGCTCGTGGGGATGATGACGGTCTTGATTATAACTTTGGAAACTTAACGATACAGGATAAGAAAGAAAAGATTGAGATTACTCGGAACAGCCTCGAATTACTCTCTAGCATGTTGAATACTGAAGGGAAGCCGAATCACTCTGAGGTAAATCTTTTGCATCATTAGCTTATTCAGCTTTCTAAGAAACATTACTCTTTTTCAGCTGTGTGTGATTCTATCTTTTTTTTTCTTTACTAAATCTGTTTGGGAATTGATTGGAACTTATTGGACAAAAGTAAGTGATGAGTCTGTATGTTATGGTTACAGGACGATCTAACGGTAAGCCTGATGGAGAAATGTAAGCAGTCGCAGCCAATGATTCAAATGATCATAGAGAGCACAACAGACGACGAGGGAGTCCTTTTTGAGGCTCTGCATCTCAATGATGAGCTTCAACGTGTTCTATCTAGTTACAAGAAACCTGATGAAACTGAGAAGAAAGCCTCCATTGTGGAACAAGAGTCATCAGGGAGCAAAGATGCTGGTCTGAAACCAACAGAAGAAGAAGAACAACCTGTAAAGAAAACGGATGATGATAATGACACAAATCATTCTGAATCATCAGGCTCCTCCAACAAACCCGTGAAGGAGGATAAGCAGGTGAAAATAGAACTGGGGCTTTCGAGTGATGAAGATGAAAAATGAGCAGTCTGTGGTAGTCTCCGACATGGATATCAGAATGTTGCGAAGATTTGTTCTTGATGGTTGCTTTTAAATTATAACAATGTAAGGGTGGAACCTTTTTAGCTTCGTTTCTCGCTGTGTTTTAAGTGGTCCTTTTTAGATATTTTTAAACCGTAGGTGAATCTTCACCCGACACATTTATACGAGGTGTTTTGGTCTACACTTATCTACTTAGCTTATATGTGTTGTGACTTGTGAGGTTAGGTTTTAGCTTCCCTGTGTGCTGTAAATGGCTTGATAGATTCCCCTAATTCTCCGATTAACTCGCTAGATATGATAGAATGAAGTCTAACGTTCTTCTATGATAAACTGAATCTTGTGGTTAAATACTAGTTGATTTTTTTGGCAACTACAATGGTTTGATTATGTCACCTAACCTTATATATACTAAATTATAAACAAAACCAGCTGATAAGGGTTCAAATTGAACGATCGAAAGGAGATTTGATTCTTGAAAAATGCTAAAATTAAAGATAGACCCAAAAAAGCGCTTGTCAGTGGCACAAACCTATCGAGATTACATATAAAGTAATGTTTTTTTCTTCATAACATAGTCTAGTGCATAAAGACGACTTGTTTCACTGCAAAACGATATTAGTTAATTCATGAAAGGTAACCACTTTTCTCAAACATTTGTCGTGGTTTATTCTTTTACGTCTTCTATAATCAACTTCTTATGTCGACGTGCTCTACAAATTGAAGTGGACGTGGCGGTAACCACTTATACTAGTATACACCAAATAAAAGTATACTATAATGCATAGTTTAAGGTCCTGTGGACTTATATATATTCATCGTTTAAGGTTATAGATTGGTCTCCAGAACCTTTTTCTCATCATGCATTTCTCAACTCTGAAAACGTCATGCGCTATTTTCATTGGTTATCAATTCGGCTCCATCAACCAAAAAGCTAACGAGATTTTGACATTTTGTGTAGTTACTATACATTTGGGTTCTATGGAATTACTATAAACCTCAATTAAATTGCTCTTCGTTTTTTGTTTTTTTTTTTCGTTTGTTATATATTCATGGAAACTTCAATGGTTGGGATAAAAATTAAGGACATGGATATGAATCACATTTCTTACATTTGTTCCCTCAGCTATATATTTATCAGATACTGTACTTGCTCTTTGTTTTGTGGTAAGTATGTTTTTGTGCGTTTCAGAAAAAGTGCAACACGAAGACTTCTCAATAAGTCACCAATATATGCATGCACCTTAATACAAGTTTCGCCTTAGATAATATGATTAACGACGTGGGCTTGATAGGATATGGTATTATAATGGTACATCAGTGATATAATTTGTAGCTTTCCAATTTAGAGTCAAATTAGTTAAATAGGTTGAGCCTCCCAAAAGTGTATTTTAGGAAATGACGGTTCATTAATTATCGACGAAGAAATCCGTTTTTTCTTTTCCGACGATTATTTTATAACTTTAAACTAACAGATTGATTAACTAGAAAACTAAAGAAATTATACATTACGTCACTTACTACGTTTGCCATTAAAAGTTAAGGTTATAGGCACATATAAGGAAAAAGGTTTACCTTTAGACCCCAAAACATGAAAATATCATATACAATGCAAATCACGCAATCAAGTGATGATGACCTTTCAAGTGTTCGTAGGGAAATTTAAATAAATGACATTTAAAAGATCAAATGAACTTAGGGATGCATAGGAAGCTAGACTAGATATGACTAGATTCCAACTTAAGTAATACATATTTAATTTCTTCACAAACCTAGATGAATGAACACTCAGTATAAGGCTTTAGCTTCCTATATAAACCACTGATGTTGAGGGTATATATGTGGAGATCAACCCTTAAAACTTCAAAGACTATATATCTAGCTCACCCTAGTTAAGAGAGGAACTTTCTTATATATATGGCAAGTCTCAAGTTATGGGTGTTCTTACTTCTAGCGCTCAAATTGACCTCAGTGCACCAATGTCGAAGTTTGGTTGTGGAAGAGAGTTTCTCTGCTCCAAGCCGTTTGGAACAGATTAGACGAGAGCTTTATGAGAGGGTAAAAGAGATGAAGGTGAGATCAGAAGGCAAAGAGACGATTCTTGGAAATACTCTCGACTCCAAGCGACTTAGTCCCGGTGGTCCTGACCCGAGACATCACTGACCTAGATGATTTTTTAAAAAATGTGGTATGTCATTTTTGTAAGAGATTTAATAAGATTGCAACTTTTTAACTCAATCCTAAATCCTAATGCCTGGTGTAGTGTATCCGAATTAGCTCATCTAATCTTTAAGTAGGAAAGATGTGTATACCTACATGCATCAGCTTGCTCGACATATGTAACGTGATATTCTTATGTTACAGCTTTGTTTTTCTGTCTTTCTTTCAAAAAGAACTTTATGTTTACATTATTGTGTTCGCCTCGTCCTTACATAAATACATATTTTGACATATATCACTTAAATAATTAGTTTGTATACAATTTTTGAAACCCTAAAATCTATATACTAAAAGGAAAAACATTAACTTTAAAACATAAAATGTGTGAAACATGATGGAATCTTTTACCCACAATATATAGTGAAATCTAAAAGCATTCATAGTAAATTCAAAGCAATAAAATATAAAGTTCATCTTCAAAGAAAATATATGTACAAAAGAATTAACTCTTCATGTGACGACGTGTGTGCATTATCTCCTACTTATAAATGTAATCTGTCAATCCATCTTGGATTTGTATCGATCTAGTTTGTTGTTTCTCTCTAGCTAATATTAGTCTCAGGTTACCATAAACTTCTTTATCAACATCACTTCAAAAAGACTAGCGAAGCTAATGGTTAATTAGAGGAAAACTTACACTATCTTCGCCAACCGTCCTTCTCATGGCTTTGCTGATAACCGCTAATGCAAAGAGACCTCCTAATTTCAAGTGAGCTATACCAAAAGAGTCTTTTTGTGATGCATGGTTAAAACCTGCTAGAGTTTCTCCCGGACCAGATCGTAAACACCATTTCGGAAACGCCTACCAGTTCGAAAAAACATCGGCAAGAGTTTCACATGGAGGATCGGACCATCAAAATCTAAACTTAAACATCTCTCCATAAAGGCAACGAGATGCTCCAACTATTGCTCAAGGCAACAAAACAACACCCGTTAGGGTTTTACCAAAACCACCGAATCAAATTTTCTTCGAATATTTCATCAAACAATATGTTGGACTTAAAAGTAATTTATTTATCAATCTAAGTTCAAGTTTTCTTGCACCATTATAGTTTATAAATAACGAATTCTGATGAACGTTACATATCAAACATGAAATCAACATCACAGTGAACTTCATCTTAATATATATAGAAATTCTCGTGCATAGCATTTAATTTTTAATTACCACAAAATTGTGAGATATTAATTATTGCATGTGAATAAAATATCTCATTCACTTAAATATCTTTCACAAATTGTATATACATGGCCATGGGAATGAGATGTTTTAGGGAAAATTGTACTAAAACAAGGATTTTTTTGATCTTTTGAAGTATATATATTTTATTTCATTTTTTAGATAGAGATATATTAATGGTAGATAGGCTTTTAATAAATTTGCGAAATAAATTTGTTTTTTGGCCCAAACCTAAAAAGCAATCGGGTCGGGTAAACGATCAGAATCTTACGCGCTGGGTTTGTTCGTTCTTCTTCTTCTTCCTCGCTCTTGCGGCGCCATCTCTCTCCCAAACTCGCTGAGGTAAAAGCTTCCTCCAATTTCTCCTTTTTCCAGATCAATTTTTGCTTTCCCTTTACCTTCTCTACTGGTTCCGTTTCTTGACGCAAGTTTTCTCCTTTTTTTTCCCCCAAGGTTCGTGTCGATCTCAAGAATGACCTAATTCTCTCTGTTCTTATTCTGGGAATTTTAATCGTACATAGTCGGCATCTACTTGCTCTGTCAAATTGATTTCTGTGAATCAGAAACCCTAATTTCGTGGGCCTTGTGTAGTCTCACAAGTTTGCACACTCTCTCAACGGAGGTTTCGTTCTGGAAATTAGGGTTTCTTTGGCTTTTATGGTGGAAGATATTGTTTCGGCTGATTTGAGGGCTTTCTGACAGTTTTAAACGGGGGAAGTGAAGAAAAGGCATCAATTTAGAGCAATTAAGGCGTGAAATTAGGGTTTCTCAAGTATATGTATGGCGTCGGAGCCTGTTAACGGAGGAGAAGGCATCGATGGAGCTAGAGAGAAGCAAAGCATTAAAGTTTATAAGAGGAAAGGGAAAGGTCAAAGAAAACAGTCGCCCTTCTTTGCCATCGAGGGTATTGGTGCCATCAAGAAACCAGAGGGGAATTTAGAAAACGAGAATGATAACAGCGATGTGAATCCTCCTGATACTCTAGCTCCAGATTCCGTGGATCCTATAGTTGTGGTGAAGAATTCTGGCCAAGAGGTTGCTCCTGGCACCAATTCTCAGGAAGACAATGCGCCTAGTATAGCCAAAAACTCAGCTGAAGCACCTTCTGAAAGCCTGCCTGGTGATGATTCAGATAAAGTTATCGACAAGCCTCTTGTGGAAGCTTTTTCTCATGCCCAATCTCAGGATGATGCCACTGATAAGAACGTTCCTTTGGGTCAGGATGATGTGAACACTATTATAGGCGACAATCCTGGACAAGTACCCTCTCAAAGCCACAAAGCTAAAGATGATGTCAATACAGTAGTTGTTGATGAGAACTCTATCAAGGAACCTCCTAGAAGCTTTGCCCAAGACGATGGTACTACTGTGATTGTTGACAAGAACCCTATTGAAGCACCTTCTCAAACCCTATCAGTGGAAGATGTCAATACACTTGTTGTTGATAAGAATCCCATTGAAGTGTCTTCTGAGGAATATGTCCACGTGGTAGATCCAGATAATCTAATAAAAGAAGCTCATCCCGAAAACCGTGTGGAAAGAGATTCCACTGATGTCGCAGGCCTTACCTCTGATTTTGCTCACGCTACTGCTGCTGGAAGCACGCCTATGGAGGAGGACGCAGATGGTCGTATTAGAATACATGTAGCTTCCACAACGAAGCAACAGAAAGATGAGATCAGGAAGAAGCTTGAGGATCAGCTTAACGTGGTCAGAGGTATGGTAAAGAAGATAGAGGATAAAGAGAGCGAGATTGGTGCTTATAATGATTCTCGTGTTTTGATTAACGCTGGTATTAATAATGGTGGAGGAAGGATTCTCTCTGGGTTTGCCTCAGCTGGACTTCCTCGTGAGGTCATCAGAGCACCAAGGCCTGTTAATCAACTAAGTATATCAGTGTTGGAGAATACTCAGGGAGTCCATGAGCATGTGGAAAAAGAGAAAAGAACACCTAAGGCAAATCAGTTTTATAGAACTTCAGAGTTTTTACTTGGTGACAAGTTGCCACCTGCAGAAAGTAACAAAAAATCAAAATCAAGTGCAAAGAAGCACGGAGGAGATGTAGGGCATGGTTTTGGTGCCGGGTCTAAAGTATTCAAGAATTGCAGTGCTCTACTTGAAAGGCTGATGAAACATAAGCATGGTTGGGTGTTCAATGCTCCAGTAGACGTGAAGGGTCTAGGTTTGCATGATTACTTCACCATTATCGAGCACCCTATGGATTTGGGAACCATAAAGTCTGCATTAACAAAGAATATGTACAAGTCACCAAGAGAATTTGCAGATGATGTTAGACTTACTTTCCACAATGCCATGACTTACAACCCGGCAGGACAAGATGTCCATCTTATGGCGGAAACACTGTTACAGATCTTTGAGGAAAGATGGGCTGTAATAGAGGCAGATTACAATCGCGAAATGAGATTTGTCACTGGCTATGAAATGAATCTTCCAACTCCTACAATGAGGTCTAGACTGGGCCCTACGATGCCGCCACCACCAATTAATGTGAGGAATACGATAGACAGAGCAGACTGGAGTAATCGCCAACCTACTACAACACCTGGAAGAACACCAACCAGTGCAACACCTTCTGGAAGGACACCTGCTCTGAAGAAGCCAAAGGCAAATGAACCAAATAAAAGAGATATGACATATGAGGAGAAGCAGAAGCTAAGTGGCCACTTGCAGAATTTGCCTCCAGATAAACTAGATGCAATTGTACAAATTGTTAACAAGAGGAATACTGCTGTGAAGCTACGGGATGAAGAAATTGAAGTTGATATTGATAGTGTTGATCCAGAGACCCTGTGGGAGTTGGACAGATTTGTAACCAACTACAAAAAGGGCTTGAGCAAGAAAAAGAGAAAAGCTGAGCTAGCTATTCAAGCTAGAGCAGAAGCCGAGAGGAATAGCCAACAACAGATGGTAGTTGTACCTCTCCTGAGAATTTTACTTCTTTTGTTATTTGCTTTCTTTTTGTACTTAAAACTGTTTACTAATCTTTGTTTGTTTTTCCTCCTAATGGCAGGCTCCAGCACCAGCGGCACATGAGTTTTCTAGGGAGGGTGGCAACACAGGTAATTTTGTTGGGCTCTTATATATATTGCTTCGCTCTCTTTGGTATGAACAACTTACAGATAATAAATAATTCTTACCGCAGCTAAAAAGACACTTCCTACACCATTACCTTCGCAAGTGGAGAAGCAAAACAATGAGACAAGCAGATCAAGTAGTTCAAGCAGCTCTTCCAGTGGTTCCAGCTCTTCTAGTGGTACATGCTTCTCGCTGAGTTATCTAACATGTTCTCTTATATATTGCTGTTTGTGAATTTTTTTAGTACTAAACCCCCTGTGTTGGGTGTGCAGATTCGGACAGTGACAGCTCTTCGTCATCTGGATCAGATCAGACCTAGAGACTAGTGTACAAGAGGAGGGTTGATGTTGACAAATATGTAAGTTCACCGCGATCATCCACAATTAATCTAAACAACACGTGTTGTCAATATCATCGTTATGTGATTCTGGTCCATATCCTATTTGCTGATAGTTGGCGGTTGCTTGAAACGTAGGGATCTCTAGTTTGTATATGTAACCAGGTGTGTGATGGTTTATGGTGAAAACAGGGCTTTAAAAAGATGGAGGTAGAGTAGAAGAGGATTTGGGAGGTGAAGGAAGGATGATGACCGTACAGGCTTGGGGCAGAGAAATATTAGAGAGTGGATGATGATGGGTTGGTTTTTTAATCTTTGACGGGAGGAAAAGATTGTGTATCATATTCATATCACTGTTAGAGTAAAAAGGAAAAAAAAAAAATCTATTATTCTTAATTTTTTTTTTGTGTTGACGTAGTAGGATCCTGTCTGTGTCTGTCTACTTTTTAGATGTAACCGTAGGGGGCTGGTTTGGTCTTGTCTCACTTTGTATATCTCTGCCTCTCACACTCTCTCGGTCTTTATTTTTTAGCGGGTTTAGTTGGTTGACTGTTTGATTGAGCCCATTTAGGTAGGTGCTTTTGAATCAAAGATTCTGGATTCTTGAAACTTTGTAGTATTGTAAGCTTGTGAGTTTGTGACCCTTTTTAGCTTTGTTTCTCTTCTTTCTTCCCATACGACCTTATCCTCTCTCTTTAGTCGATCGATCTTAGACAATGGATTGCCTGGAAAACGAAAAAAAAAGAAAAACAACTCATCTGTATGATAACACTTAAATTTGATTTTCGAACTGGATTCAACTTCTAGAGAAGAACAGAGCATGTACTTGAAACTATGTGGAGGTTAATAAACCAATGAGTTTGTGGGTTTTTCATTTTTGCTTTGGCAAATATTCCAAAAGATGAAGCAATGTCTGGCTATGTCAGAGCTGTGAAACATTGAGAAGAATGTTGATTCATCATCTGCGTCCCTTTCCACTGAGTTCTCTGTCTCCTCGTTCTCTCACCATCTCCACTGCTCTCTCTTCTTCAACGAAGCAACAACACAAGCTCTGGTCTGGTCTTGAAAACTGGAGAAAGAGTCCTGTCAATGACCTCCGTCTCTGGGGACCTACGGGTCCTCTCCTCCCTTCTTCCGGCTCCATCTCCGCCGACTTATCCGGTCTGGTCTCGGCGGCGTCTTCTCTCGCCGATCTCGGAGCTCTCGTCCTCTCAACCGCTGACCCTCTCTCCAAATCTCATATCTCCCATTTAGCTTTCTCGCGTTGGCGCCGTGAGAATCTCCCTGTTGGTTCAATCTCACATCTTCCCTCTTCTCCAGCTCGTCCTGCCAAACCACTCCTCGTCTGTATTATCCCTCCCTCTCATCTTCTCTCTATCTAATTTGATCAATCAGCTAATTTTTTTTCATGTATTTGCAGGTTGCGACCAACGAGGTTCCAAATCCGAAAGATTCCAAGCTTCCCCTCAATGCTCATATGCTTCATAACCTCGCTCATGTCGAGCTCAATGCTATTGATTTGGCTTGGGACACTGTTGCTCGTTTCTCCCCTTTCTTCGATGTTTTGGGTCACAACTTCTTTGATGACTTTGCTCATGTTGCTGATGATGAGAGTCGCCATTTCTTGTGGTGTTCCCAGAGACTCGCTGAGCTTGGTTTCAGGTTATGTCAGATTCATGTTTTAAACTTTTTGATTGGTCTTGGTTTCAAGACAGCTATTTAACTTTCATTCTCTTCGTCTTCAAGGTATGGAGATATACCTGCTAATAACTTGCTGATGAGGGAATGCGAGAAAACATCCAACAATGTCGCTGCTCGCTTGGCTGTGATCCCTCTTGTACAGGTAACTGAATGCCCCACTCATCTGATATAGATGATATCACAAATGTACTTTAGTGGAGATACCAACTTGTTTTAGCCTTTTAATAGCACAATACATACCAATTTAGTTAGTTATATAGGAGGCTAGAGGACTTGATGCTGGACCCAGGTTGGTCAAAAGGCTAACGGGCTTCGGAGATAATAGGACTTCAAAAATCGTGGCTAAGATCGCTGAGGAGGAAGTTGCACATGTAGCTGTTGGTGTAGACTGGTTCCTCTCTGTGTGTCGAAAGATGAACCGTGCTCCCTGCCCTACATTTAAAGGCATAGACAAGTCTTCTTTTCCATGTTTTATTTCTCATCTTTATTCCCGCTGGTTTTATACATACATCATATATATGTTTTCAACCATATGTGCTGTGCAGATCTGATCGAAGAGTATGGTGTTGAATTAAGGGGCCCTTTTAACCACTCTGCTCGGGAGGTAGCTGGCATTCCACGAGACTGGTAAGGAAACTCATTCCACCAAGATGGGGATTGAATGAAAACCTCCAGTCAGACTCTTTCAAGAAAAACTAGCTCATCTAAATGCCTTTCTCTATATCAACGCACAAGGGAGATTTTCAATTTAGCACAACAAATTGCTTATTCCGTAAATTTTTAGGTATGATTCATCATGTGGCACAGAAGTGGATAAAGGCGCTAATAAACAGGATGACAAGGAGCAACTCTCTGCGGTATGTTTCTTCTTTGTTCATGCCTTCAGGGCTATGCTTCTGAAGGAGGCAAATTCTTGCTGAAGATGTTATCTTTAGTTCAGTTTTTATTTATGGTTTTTGTTGCATTTCATCAACTGCAGGTTTACAATAGGCTCACTCACATAATCTCAATGGAGAGTGAGAATTCAAGTCTCGAAAGGCCAGCCAAATGACATGATGCCGTCGGAGTCATGATTTAATGGCTTTATAACTTATGAATGAGTGTCAGCCGTGATTTCCTGGGATCTGAAATTACAAATTAATGATTTCTCATACGAACTAGTTCAAACCTACTCTAGCTTAGGATTTTCCTCTCTTAGTGCGGCTACTGTTTATCGTGATTTTATGACTTTGCTTTTTGGTGCATGTGTGAGTATAATAGTGGAAATTTGCATTGGAGTTGATCCAAGCAACCAATTTGTTATATAAATTTGCTCGTATCCAAGATACCTTGTTTTTGTGTTCTTTGAATTTTTATTTGTTCTTCGTCCAAGTACACAAATATCTAACTTGCAACCTTTCGATCTGCTTGCCTTGCTGATTTTGGATTGCTTTTGTATAGACTGACTGAGATTCGGCCCTCAGATTCTTTGTGCTTCTAAATGATTTTTCATTTTTGTGTACAAACATATTGTGCGGAACCTTTTTATAAGTTTTAGTAACTAAACTGTATTAAGCTCTTGTAGTTGGTTACTTGTTGAGGAGGAGTCATCTTCAGCAGCATCGTCATCATCATCATGATCTCTCCTGTGGACATTCAGCTTCCATGTCCCATCATCCATTTGAACCATCCCTTTGTTTGCCAAACATCTCCAGGTACTTGGCACTAAGTACTCGTCCTTCAGAGCATCTAATCCTTTATTGACCAAAGAAATGTCTCGGCCAATCTCCAGCTTGAATACCCCGGCTGTATCTTTCATCCCTGCCATGCCGTGCAGGTATATCTCCAAGTTATGGTAGTTCCTAAAGTTCAGAGACCGTTTCAGGTAAGTGGAGTTCAATGTATTGATCTCTAATACTTCGCCTATTTCTGCATACAGTAAGAGTGGATAATGTGGTGCGACATCTGGAACATTTACTATTCTTAGGATGTTTATTTGCTGGAGTGAGTCGACGATTTTTTTGAAGTCTTGGTCTCCAATCCGAGGACTCCCGAAAGCAAAAACTGTGATAGGAACCTGCTTTTTTGGAAGACTTATATTGGTCTTGTTGTTTTTGCCATAGACAAAATCTGCAGCTGACAGAACTGACATAACGGCACCCAAGCTATGGCCTGTGAAAGTGATGCTTACTTCTTCATTCTTGTAAACTTCCAACAACCTCTTGAGCTCTCCTTGTACCTAAAATCAAAACCAAGACACAATGTCATCATTAGGAGAAAGAAGGAGATATGGAAGTAGGGTTGTTGACGTTGTCATGGGACGCACGCCATGTTATGAGCTCAACCCATCTCGGGATTGATAAGTTGAACCCCTGTCACTGATTTTAGCCGCAGGACTGCATTGAACCTGAAAAAGGCACCTCAAAAAAGGACACGTCCAGCAGGTTTTTCTTGGCCTGTGGTGGGCTTAGGTTTGGAACGGTCCTGTTCCGGTCATGATGTTTCGAAATTAATAAAATGGTCCGGACTGGACCGACCTTAGGCCAGCAGAACATATATAAGTGAATGATGATATAGAGAAAAGTGAAGACCTGTTCTCGTGCACTAGTCTTGTCATAAGGCGAGCGAGAATCAGAAGCAGTGTAGATGTCGAGCCAGCCACTTCCAATACGAGGGTTAGCTTTGGCGTCTTTTACCGGGAAAACCGAGATAGCTGGCTCAAGTGGAAAATCAAAATCATTAGCCCATTCATATGGTTGAAGAGTTCCTCTCCATGCCACAACAATGTCTCTCCTTCCTAACATCGCTTTTCCTTGGTCTGTCGCAACCGCAATGTAACCCATCCAGTTAGTCTGCACTCGAGATGCATCCTTTGACAAAGACTTGACGATGAAACAAATTGGTAACTTTATGGAAGCTGTTGCGTAGATGTACTTAGTCACATTGTACCTGAAAATCTATTATCAGTAAGCTTCTGTTTTTATCGAATCAAAAGATGAAACATTTAGGGGTTATGACAAGTACCTGAAAGGGTTGGCTTTAAGGTAGCCGGTTCGAGCAAAGATTTGTTTCTTGGAGTAATAACAATCACCGGCATATCTGGACTTACGGTCCCAGTTAAAGGCGTCGTAACCAACCTGTGACATCTCGCCATAGTGAATAATGTAGCGGCGAAGATCCGGGTCAAGTGGATCAAGCAGGCCTTGCCATTTGTTTTGGCCACTTAGCTCCTTCCATCTCTTTGCTATGCCCTCCAACATGTTTGCCTTAGATTTTTTCACAATCCTATATCTTCTTGATCTTGATTATTGGATAGTATCATGTCTCCTTGTGTGAAAGAGTTGAATAATGCGTGAAAGGAATTGGTCCTTATTGCACGGTTCTTCACATAAATAGTGCCGATTAGAGTTTTTGTTAAGTGTACGCATATTTCAATTTATAGTATTAATATCACTTTCAACGGTTAATCAACGCTTAAAACATGTTTTGTTCGTTACATCGATATTAAATTATTCAAAGACAATTCCCTCTGGTGCCTGTCCATTTGATTCGGTTTAACTAAACCGGAAACATATATCCTGAACCAAATCAGGGGATTATGCTCAGCTGATGAGTTTCTTTGGATTGATGTTCTCTTGCTATGCCTCGTTCTTGAAGATTTTATCATCTCACATCAATGCCGAACCTGAAGCTAAATTTCTTAGAAGCAGATGTCACCATCAAATCCCACAGGTACGCTTGCCAGAACAGGTTGTTCAGTATCTAAATTTTGCTTCAAACAGAATCAACCACCCCTTACGAAATGAACCATCAAACAGTATCTTCATATTGCGTCAGTCCTCCTGTAAATGAACCTTTCTGGTACTGCTTGAGAATCATTTGACCCTTCAGTTTCAAAATCAGACAATGATGATTCAGGAGTTTTTGTACATGGAGACTTGTAACCCCGGACAGCTCTTCTTCTCAAGGATTTATTTCAGCATCTGTAGTGGACTGACTTGACAATACTGTCTCAGAGAAGTAAACAGATTATAAAGATTGGCATGACTTATCCCAAGCATCATCCTCGGTTTACATTTCTTGCTCTACCATATCCACTGCTTCTTTCCATATTCATGATTTTTCTTTTCTTTTTGAAGGATCAAATCGAAGCATATTCATTCAGCATTTTAAAGGGAGGCAGTGGTTTTCCAGAACTTATAGAGGGTTCAGCAAGCAAGTCTTGAACCATATCTGAGAACACTTTCTTAACAAACTAGAGAGTAGAAACATCATAGTAAGAATTACAAGTGCTAAAATAAGTTTTAAGGTACCTGGAAGCCTCAAATTTCTCTGTCGCATGTTTTTCCATAGCTCAAGAAACTGAATATTCATGTTCATGGGTATGCTTACCTGCAAAATGTCCAAATAAGAGAAAATTCCAGATTTTAGAACAAAAAAATATGACTTTGGAGAAACAGACATAACATAAACATATATCAGTTGACTAAAAGAAACCAAATTCTACGACTAAAACTCTTAAACTTACGTCTCTGCATATTGTTAAGGATGAGACAGAAGGAAACTTGTCCCACTGGAACTACAGCAAAACACAAAACCTGTGACCAGGAAAGCAGCACATGACTGAAAGCTTATATACCATAGACAAATCTCATTTCACCAAAACTCCAACTTAAAACAAACAAAAAATGCTGAATGTACTTAGAAATCCTAACCTGACCTTTGGCCTTGTGATTTGCTTTGTCTTGACCGCTTCAAGACTATGTTCAGTCAATTCCTCAGTGTATGACCCACACAAAACCCTGAAGCAGCGGTTCGAGAATTGGCTTAAAACCCACAGCAAATTATATGGAGGAAAGGATGAGTGGATGCTACGGTTTGGGATATACCAGTCTAACGTCCAGTTGATTGACTACATCAACTCCCTCCACTTGCCCTTTAAGTTAACGGATAACAGATTCGCGGACATGACCAATTCAGAGTTTAAGGCCCATTTTCTCGGCTTGAACACGTCTTCCTTGAGGATACAGAAGAATCAGAGGCCGGTTTGTGACCCAGCAGGCGATGTACCAGCTGCTGTGGACTGGAGGAAACAAGGTGCTGTGACTCCTATTAGAAACCAAGGAAAATGCGGTATGAAACTATGCTCTCACACAATTCATTTTAAAGTTGAAAGATTTAGCAAACATTTATAACAACAACACTGATAAACTATGGTCATGAGCAGGAGGTTGCTGGGCATTCTCTGCAGTGGCAGCTATCGAAGGCATCAACAAGATCAAAACAGGGAATCTAGTGTCTCTCTCAGAACAACAACTGATAGATTGTGATGTCGGTACTTACAACAAAGGGTGTAGCGGTGGACTAATGGAAACAGCATTTGAATACATAAAAACCAACGGTGGACTCGTCACCCAGACAGACTACCCATACACAGGCATAGAAGGTACCTGCGACCAAGAGAAAACCAAAAACAAGGTAGTTACGATACAAGGATTCAATAAGGTAGCCCAGAACGAAGGGAGCCTACAAAGCGCTGCAGCTAAACAGCCAGTATCAGTTGGCATTGACGCTGGTGGATTCATCTTTCAGCTATACAGCTCAGGTGTTTTCACAAGTTACTGTGGAACAAATCTCAACCATGGAGTGACTGTTGTAGGATATGGTGCAGAAGGAGATCAAAAGTACTGGATTGTAAAGAATTCATGGGGAACTGGCTGGGGTGAAGAAGGCTACATACGTATGGAGCGCGGTTTGAGTGACGTGACCACTGGCAAATGTGGCATTGCTATGCTCGCAAGCTATCCCTTGCAGTGAGATTCCACAAATGTCTTGTGCAATAGCGCAGAGGCAGCTACAATAATTACACGATTGTGAAATAAAGTACTAGAGTTAATTGAGAACCAGGTTTCTAAACATCAATTATGCATTATGCAATTATAAGATCAGAAACATATGTTTACTATAATACCTGGTTCTCCTTGATACTTTCTCCTCGAAGCATTCTAGCTTGATAACTTTTGCTTCTTATAAGGGCTTAGCATCGAGTAGGGTTTTAGCCATAACTTGGTAATTGAGATGCTCGTAAGGCTTTGTGAGGAGGAAGAGAGCTCTGGCTTCACCTATCTTCTCGAGGATCGCTTGGGTTGCAAAGCTCGAGTAGGGATTTGAGGCTTTTTAGCAGAGACTGCGTCACTCAAATGAGAGAAGAAAGACGAAAAGTTATAAAAAAGTTAATAACATAGGAGCAACATCACTACTATTTCGATTTTTTTAGCCAATCAGAAGGCTCTATTTCATACCCACTCTCACCAAGTGCGCGTTGCGCGAGTGTACCCAATTCCTGTGTGCTATATAACCCCCAAAATCATGCCTATTTGATTCAACGCACTTCTTCCCAAAAATACCATCGCGTGGCTTTTTTTAACTTTTTTTCTTTTCTATTTTTCCAAAACCAAGTCCTAATTAATTCCAATAAAAACCAAACCGAAATCAACTGTAATTTCAATACCATCTAAACCGAACCGAATTCAAATTTCAATTGTTTTTAACAAATTCTAATCTAAGCCCGAACGTAACCCTGAGTATGTTGTGAATCAATCATGTAATGTTCACGGCATTGCCTTTGAAATAGTGTGAGTCGAATAGATCAAAGTATATTCCAATCACGTTTGATGATCAAAGAGGCTCGTCATCACTTTCTTCCAACTTGAAACTCATCTCTTCTGTCATCAACATGTGTAACATAGATATTCCAAGAAGAAAATGTTCAACGCAGCTGGGAGCAAACAAGTTCATGACAGTTTTGCAGCAATCAAGAGCTCTTTTGATTCCAAAAAGGACTTCAGAGAATCAATGGTGAAAATGATAACAGAGAACGATATCAAAGCTCTAAAGACTTGGAGGCATGTTACCTGACCTTGAATCCCAACTAGTATCATCATCTTGTCATCGAGGTTTTCGTTCAAATCTAGCTTCAAGTCATAAACTCTACATTTGCATCCAATTAAGAACGTGTAATGTTGATTGCATAACTTATGATCAAATCCCTTCATTCTCCAGTAAATTGTAGTTATTTTAAAGAGTTTGAGGTAACTATATGGTTATGATTAGTGAAAATAATAAACCAAACTTATTCAGCAATTGAGCATTTTACAAAAGTCACATTTCAATATACCATCACATTCTCTCCACATTATCTTTATGCTCACTTGACACTACAACTACTCTACAACAAACCTGCAGGCTGCAGATGGAGTGCACAATGATTACAAGATATGTAGACAAATTGAACTGCTATAAAACAAAATGTTTGTCTATTCAAAAACAACAACAAGAATATTCCCAAGTTTGGGGTATGAGTAGTTTCATTCCAGGATCGGAACTGTAACAAAATCTTAACATTTTATCTGATGACTACAGGAAATGCCTAGGACTTGAGTTCTGAAAGCCTTTGTCTAACAGTACAAGCAAGCTTCCATTCACCAATGCTAATAAGACGCTCTACCACTTTTTGCCTAACCTTGATATAGGGTATGAATCCTCTATCAGTCATTCTCACAACCATCTTCCCTGCCAAAATGTATTCCCTAATCTCTAGACAACCCTCGACTACTACCTCATAGCTCTCGAATTCCACAGGGTAACCTCGACTTTCTACAAACTCGATCATCTCAATGGCTTTCCAAGTTTCCCTGTTGGCTCTCAAAGCTGATGCTACTTTTGTCAACATCCCTTTCCGTGGAGAAATTCTGGCTTTGCTCACCATTTCTTTGACGATATTCACCACATCGTTAGTCTTTCTAGCCAAACACAACGAATTAATCACCGCCCCATAACTTTCCACATCAGGAATACAGCCAGCTGCACCCATTTCCTCAACAACTTTAATCGCCTCATCCAACTTATCAACAGCACAGAGAGAGGACACTAAATAATTGCAAGTTCCAGTATCAGGGCTGTATCCAATCAATTTCATCTCATTAATAATATCTGCAACAGACTGGGATCCTCGTCGGCGTTGAAGCCAAGCATCAGACAGAAGGAGGTGGGTCTGTGGGTTAGGAAGGCAGCCAGAACGAAGAGTGCGCTGGAGGATTGCGAAAGACAAAGGAAGTGGATCAGAACTCTGAAGGCAGTAAGTAAGAAGGCTGGAGTAGACAATCTTGGGCAGGGAACGTGGTCTCACGGGAACAAAGCTTTGGAGGATCTCATCGATGACTCGGATTCTATGATGATGGTGGAAAGCAGAGAGAAAGGAGAATAACATTGAGTTTTGGTAGGGTTCTTTGAGTGACACAACAAGGTCAGGTATTCGAAGATACTCCTTTGTTTCAACAGCACATTTTATAGCCTTTTCAACCGCTTCAAAAGAAGAGATTGGCCGAAAAAACGGGATGCAGGTATCAAAGGGACGAGAATAAGCAAGGGGCTTTCGCAGATGTGTCAAGCGAATTGCCATTTCCTAATCCCAGATACCAGATCAACTATCAACTTGGCGTCAGAATAAAAACTTCCTTTCCTGTTGTAAACATAAAGTACATTCCGAGTGACTCATCTAATCAGTTAAAAGCTCACAGCTAACGTCGATGATGGTGAACGAAATACTAATGTTCAATATAAAAAGATCTTCTTTTGTAGCAAAAGTCTTACCTTTTTAGACAAATTCAAGCTTCTTCCAGGAGGAATGATCAGGCAACTGGAGAAGGAGTTGAGAGGAATGATATTTTCCTTCACAGAGGAATATCATCGAACGACTGGACGGCAAGATCCGAAGAGCTCAAATGTATAGAAAATGACGTGAGGTTTGGTGAATCGGATCAAAGTGAGTAAACCGGAATACCCATGAGCTTCGGTCGAACCCGTCCTCAATAGATTTGATATGTAGCAGAAGAATGAACGTGTGATTTGAAGAAGGAATCTTCAGGGAGTAGAGGTAGAAGACTTGCGTTTTGATTCCAACGAGATTTATCAGCCTCTGTTTTTTAAAACCTAACCGGATACTATTTAAAAGGTTTAGGTTTAACCGGAAATTGATCGGAACACCATTAAACGTCCAAACCAACAAGCTCGGAATAGTTCAAAGTAAAAAAAACACATTCATCTACAGTAAATTCTATTAAAAAGAAACACTTATTACGAAATCTAATTATCATTGCTAATTCCAAATTATATATAGCGTATATTTAAATTATGAGATTTTACTTTTGCAAGAAGGCCATAGCATACATTAATTTAAGCGTACAAATTTTTTACTTTGGAAGACATAAAATACACTGCGAATTTCAATAATTATGCCATAATCAACATGATTCGATCGATTTAGAACGTTACAATCAAATACTAAAGTTACTTATTAGAGTGGGAGATGATAGTGTTGTTGTTTAAAACCATTAATCACTGCATAACATTGTTGCCTTTGATCGTGCTTTGGATTTTCCCAACCACCTTGCAAATTCCTCGACGAATATCCACCGTTGACAATCTCCCCATTCACACCAGCACCATTGTTATTACCACTAAACACTCCCGATCCACTTGAATTCATCGCTAATCCGGTCTTGTTGTTGTTGTTGTTATATACGCGTTGATTATTGTCCCATCCAAGGAGAGGTTGATTATGAACCAAGCTTTTGTATAACTTGAGCTCTTCACAAATCCTCCTATACTCTCCATATGAGCCAAGGACCGGATCTTTCTGTCTCCATAGAGCTTCCCATGTCAAAGAATCGGACAGCTTGGTACGGTCCTCTTCACGCACCGTCCGTACCATTTTTTGTACGTTACTGACACCGAAGACCTTGTGCACGGCCTGAAACTCTTTCGTCTTGCGGGCTGGGAAATACGGCGATAAGATACATTCGTTGTTGCATTTCTTCCGTTGGTGTTTGCATGAAGCACAAGCTTGATGCGTTGATGGGTTATTGGAGATGTTGTTGTTTGTGGTGGTGATGGCGTTAGAGTTCCTTTGCATCATTTCATGTCCCTAGTAACGGAAACTTAAAATTATAATACAAATATGGATGTTAGAAACGTTATTAAGAAGAAAAAAAATTAGAAAAGAATCGTCCAGATCGTTAATCTAGGGTTTCATTAGTTTTAAACCCACTAATCTTTTGACGGTTAAATTGATATAGATTTTAACGTAAGTTTTTGGAAATTAGTTTTTACATGGTAACCTAATTCCCTAATTAGTGTAATACAGTGACGATATTAACAAAGGTTATACTAAATTAGAAATATTTTCTGTCTACAATTTATAACTTAGATATTTTCCAACGTATAACAATGGTTTGGATACCCCTATAGGTTCTAAACCATAAACAACGAGTGGGTCAATGGATTAATATATGAAGTTAACTAAAAATATATATAACATACATACACATACCGTAATAGAAACAAAGGAGGCGGAATATATTAGATTAATTTAACGAAAGCTAATATTCTTCTAATCACAAGCATGTGTCTCTCTACGTGTACATGAACGAATATGCAATATAGTCTACACAACCAGTCCTTATTGCTATTAATATATATCAGCTAATATTGCTTTGCATATTCATTGATCTCTAGCTCTTATTATATTAGCTACAAGTGACACTATTAGCTAGTATTGTATTATGAATAATGTACTACGTATTTGGGAATCAAGTATGAAAATAATTCATACTAGTGCTAAAACTTTTATTGGGAAATTGGGAATCACATCATGGATCTGGTAGAATACTTAAAGCATTATTCAAACACCGAACATATACACAAATAACAAGGAAATATATAAGAGGACGCAACAAAGAGAATTATAGAGTTTGAACATATATAATTTCGAGAAGGGTTACACAAACCTCTTGCCACTTTTATTTTCCTTCATTTGTGGGTTAATAGCGATTGGATCTATGGGTTTATATTAATAATAAGGGATATATATTGGTTGATGATAGTATTATTTATATACGAATGTTATTTTTTGGATAAAGAATAAGATGAGTAATAATGGTGCACAAAGAGTTTGTATAATGAACATGAAAAGATTGTTTGGTTAATAAAAGAAAAAGGTGTTTGGATGAAGGGTCGATTATGAGTTTTTTAGGTTGCTCATGACAAAGGACAATAACAACTAGGATATTAATAAACTAAACCATTTTTGTGGGAAATATACGTGTAAAGAAAAATAATAGTATGTTACTAGAAATCAGTATATTAATTTTTTGGGTGTTTCAATAATTTTTTTTAGTCATAAGTGTATATAACATGGGAATAATTTGTTTCTTTAGGCAAATCATCTTAATTAGTGATATATGTGTAGTGATTTGTGAGAAATTGAGGGCATCTTTGATGCATGGGATTTAACACAAATCTTAAGAAAAATCTTTATATAAGTCTAAGTTAAATCCCATGCATTGTTAAGGTTTCTCACTACACATATGCTGTTGTTAAGGAAGATATTTTTGATTGATATATACTCTAGTCTAGGTTTATATATTTTTCGAGAAAGCTGAATAAATATAAATCTGACTGTGAAGTTACATAGGCTCGAATACAAAGTATAAAGTTAACCAAATATATATTATTTTTTTTAAGGTAACCAATTTGATGTAAGAATATATACAAGTTGTAGCAAACTGAACATTTGCGAGGACAAAATGTTTGGCTGATTAATGTGTTGCTAAATAAAGACATATGGAGTACTAGATTTTCATGATGTTGTCTTTCCATAATTATATTATGCCTTTTTCGTGTTAAAGTTTATAAAAACTACCATTGCATACTGTTTATATACCAATCAGACCGATGACAATGAAACAAAATGTATTTATTTCTCCTGCAATCGGATGTGTCGAGGCTTAATAGTAGAAAATAATGTATGGGACAACGATCGAGAGCCAGACAACGAATTTGATAACTGATCATATGCACCGTTTTAAGAGATAATCATAATCCAAAAAAAAATCAAAATCAAAGATTACTTTTAATTTCTTTGGTTATTCTCTAAACACGTTAACTAGTCGATCAGATAACACTCGCCAAAAAAAAAAGAACATTGACCGATCGATGGATAATTCAACGGCTGAGATTGAACGGCTATATAGATAACGACCTTATCCTAATTACAAAATCCGTTCGCACTTTTCCCTAGGAGAAGCGTCATGGTCTCGGTCACTAGTTGGTTGCTTTTAATTATTTTTCTCAAAGGGTATTTACGTAATCACCTCACCGTTACTAATTTTATATAAGAAAAAAATAAAAATACAATCGTTGAAAAAAGGAAACTTGTTCATCTTCTTCCTAATAACAGCAACTACAACGTCACTTTCTCGGGAAATTTTTTTCCAGGAAAATTGAAATTAGTGTACGCAAACCCAATTCCCTGAATCCCTAGAAAAAATGTCTGATAACCGCGCACTCCAGCGAGTTCATGTTCTCGCGAATCACATACTCCAATCAACTCCTCCGTCTTCGAACCTCTCCCTTACGCGCGAGATATGTTTGCAATACTCTCCACCGGAGCTCAACGAGATATGTGGATTCGATGTCAAAGAGATGAGGAAACTTCTAGACGGACACAACGTCGTGGATCGGGACTGGATTTACGGGCTCATGATGCAGAGCAATCTGTTTAATCGGAAAGAGAGAGGCGGTAAGATTTTCGTGTCGCCGGATTACAATCAGACGATGGAGCAGCAGCGTGAGATCACCATGAAACGGATCTGGTACTTGCTCGAGAATGGGGTTTTTAAAGGATGGTTGACGGAGACTGGTCCTGAGGCTGAGCTCAGGAAATTAGCTCTGCTTGAGGTTTGCGGTCTTTATGATCACTCCGTCTCCATCAAAGTTGGTGTTCATTTCTTCTTATGGTACGCTCGAATCTTAAAATTTCAAATGCCTAATTCACATCTAACTATGATTTTTTTGTTTCTTTCTTATAGTTTAGATCATTAGTGCTGGGGGAGATATATGCTAAATTAGAATTCATGATGCGATTTCAAAAACATGTTTTTTTTATAAGAAAAGACAATCTTGTGATTGGAGGACATTTGGTTCTTAGTTTCGGTATACAGGGATGCTTAGATGAACCAGTTGATTTATTGATAGCTGCAAAGTTAATATGACATGGTTACTTTGTGCTTTGGTTAATTAGATACGGTTATTGAAAATAATCATGAGATGCCTCTATCCGAGGGATCTAGGTAGCTCTTTTCCAACTCTTTGAAAGTGATTTAACGACCGAGTGAGTTAAGGGAAAAGCGTTAGCCTTATAAGTTATAAATTTTTTTGTGTGATACTCAGGGGTAATGCTGTAAAGTTCTTTGGCACAAAGCGTCACCATGAAAAGTGGCTGAAGAACACCGAAGATTATGTTGTCAAGGGCTGTTTTGCAATGACTGAGCTAGGCCATGGAAGTAATGTAGGGATAATAATTTCAGTTGCCATTTTTTTCCATACGTATACTATATGTCTTAGTGATCTTTAACACCTATGTTGATTTCGATGTATTTCTTTGGATATAGGTACGGGGAATTGAAACAGTGACTACTTATGACCCAAGAAGCGAGGAGTTTGTGATAAATACTCCTTGTGAATCTGCTCAGAAGTATTGGATCGGTGGAGCAGCTAATGTAAGTCGTTGTTATACCTATCCTGAGTGTACCAAAATCCTCTGTTCTGTTGAGGTTCTCACACTATTTATCAAATTCTGACTGATGGTTGTATTTTTTTTTTTTGTTCTTCAGCATGCAACCCATACAATTGTGTTTTCACAGCTTCATATTAACGGAACCAACCAGGGGGTTCATGCCTTTATCGCGCAAATTAGAGATCAAGATGGTAATGTATGCCCAAACATCCGCATTGCCGACTGTGGACACAAAATTGGGTTGAATGGTGTTGACAATGGCCGAATATGGTATTCATACAACTCAACCATATGTCAATTTTACCTTATACGAAGGGTGTGTATTTCATGGAAGATTTCACTATGATTATAGGTTTGACAATCTTCGAATTCCAAGAGAGAACTTATTGAATGCAGTTGCTGATGTCTCATCTGATGGGAAGTATGTTAGCGCAATTAAAGATCCTGATCAGGTAAATGCTACACCTTTGAACCATTTTTAAGATATTCTTGTAGAGTTGCAGTGGTAATGTTCCTAATTTTCATTTCAGAGATTTGGAGCATTCATGGCCCCTTTGACCTCTGGCCGAGTCACCATTGCATCAAGTGCGATTTATTCTGCAAAGGTACAGATTTCGGTAGTTTTTCATCTCTTACATAATGTTTTGTAAGATATGATGTCTGAATAAATGTAGCTGATTGAAATTTTACTGTGGTAGGTCGGATTAGCTACTGCTATAAGGTACTCATTATCAAGAAGAGCCTTCTCTGTTACAGCCAATGGTCCTGAAGTCCTCCTTCTCGATTACCCAAGTCATCAGAGGCGACTGCTACCACTCCTAGCAAAGACGTAAGGATCTTTATAACTGTATAACCATCAAGCTTTAAAGATGAGTTGTTTCCTTTATTGATTTCTCATTTATCACAGATATGCTATGAGTTTTGCTGCAAATGAATTGAAGATGATTTACGTGAAGAGGACACCTGAGACCAACAAAGCCATTCACGTTGTTTCAAGTGGGTTCAAAGCTGTTCTCACCTGGCACAATATGCGAACACTTCAGGTAAATACAAATACACTATACGTATGATTATGTGAGAAACCTCCTGCCTATGAGCCATACTGAGGTTATTTGTTGTTGGTTTTTAAGGAATGCCGTGAAGCTGTCGGAGGACAAGGTGTGAAAACAGAAAATCTAGTTGGTCAGTTGAAAGGTGAATTTGATGTACAGACTACATTCGAGGGTGACAACAATGTATTGATGCAGCAGGTAGGCGGCACATTAGTGTGATTTGTGAACACGATCAATGCTGTAAATTTCCTTGTTTTGACCATCTTCTTATGTGAAACTTAGGTGAGCAAGGCACTTTTTGCTGAATATGTGTCATGTAAGAAGAGAAACAAACCTTTTAAAGGATTGGGATTGGAGCATATGAACAGTTCTCGTCCTGAATTGCCGACTCAACTCACATCATCTACCCTCAGATGCAGCCAGTTCCAGGTCATATGCCTCCTCATACATATTTGCATCTTATCATTATTTAGATGAAATTTCAAGTTTTTATTAAAACGTTTTCTTGTAATTTTCCCCTCCAGACAAATGTGTTCTGCTTAAGAGAGCGAGATCTTCTGGAACGATTTACTTCTGAAGTTGCGCAGCTTCAAGGGAGAGGAGAAAGTCGAGAGATCTCATTCCTCCTGGTAAGCATTATTGCCAAATAAAATTTGTTTCCCGTTTTTGTTCTCCCAAACTTTAGGATTCAATAATGATTTTCTTCTCCTTTATATCCGTGCTTGCAGAGTCATCAACTTGCTGAAGACTTGGGTAAAGCTTTCACAGAGAAGGCAATACTGCAAACAATTTTGGATGCTGAGGCCAAATTACCTGCTGGCTCAGTAAAGGTAAGTAAATCTAATTATTATTGTGATGTTTTGAACCAATTTAGTTGAATCATGGTTGTTTTGCTAGGGATCACGGATGGTACCTCTGGCTTCCATGTCATATGATTAACGTGCATAATAATTTATTTTTGATCTATAAATGCGTGAGACTCGTGGGATGTTTTGATTCTTTAGGCACAATAGTTCATTTAGCCACAAAAGGGAAAAGCAGAGCTTTGTTCTTTGTGTAGTTTATAAATAGACTACTACTGCTACACTAAGAGTAAAGACTAGCTACCACTACTAGAGGAACTAATCTAAACTAACCACCTCCATGTATTTGATGACAGGATGTGTTGGGTCTTGTGAGATCAATGTATGCATTGATCAGCTTGGAAGAGGATCCATCGATGCTGAGATACGGTTACCTCTCTCGGGATAATGTTGGAGATGTGAGGAGAGAAGTTTCTAAGCTCTGTAAGGAGCTAAGACCTCACGCACTTGCACTCGTAACTTCATTCGGGATTCCAGACTCCTTCTTGAGTCCAATTGCATTCAACTGGGTCGAAGCCAACGCTTGGTCTTCAGTTTAGGTACTAGTTGTAATCTCTTCCATAATTCCCACAATCCCACATCTCTTAAAATCTATGTTTCCACGATATCTACAGAAGTTGTTGTAAGCTTTTCATAATAAAAGGGATATGTAATGTATATGTATCCAAGGTTGATTCATTACTTAAACTGGTCCAAACAAAGAGTTTGGTGATAGATTTCAAACTCTAATAAATGATTGTTGTGATTCTTTAATCTTTATTGGTTTAAGTTTGTCGATATTGTTTTGGACTACTTAATTTGTAAATCATTCAAGTTTCATTAGACATATTTATATCTAATTTGTGTATTATTAGGTTGCGAAAGTAATTAAAGAAAGAAACACGAATGACTTGCATTAGGAGTAAAAGTAAGTTGAACTTTTGACATTGCTAACTGCCAACGATAAAATGACTTCTCAAGTGAAAGGAGTCAATGTTCGGTTAATTTTTCACAACAAATCATTGGGTTTTTTTTCCATATATTATGAGTGAAGACGAAAGAGAGTACTGAACTTTGTAATTATATAAAGGAAACGAGCAAAGCCAAATAAAAAGGAAACAACGTGATCCAAAAAAACAAAAAGGAAACTAACGAATTTGCCATTAAAAAAAAAAGAATGAAACTGAATTTGCCATAAATAAAAAAAGGAAACGACATTATTATTTTTTTATTTTGTCAATCGGGCCTAAGTGGGCCAAATCTTGTCTTTTCTACCTCTTCATGTCCGTCGTGTCGCAAAATACATGACGCATATCGGCGGCTCTTTCCTCTGACGCTCAATGTCAAATAAGACAAAGAGCTGCATATACCTCTGTTTCGGGTTAAGGGAACAAATTTCTTGAAGAAGAAGAGAAAATTTCAAAATTTGTTCTCTCCCTTTCTCTGGAACATCGACGTTGATGCTGTGTGAGTGAAACCCTATTCCCTCTAGAATGTCGGAAAATCGTGCCCTCCGGGTCCGGCGAACCCATGTTCTCGCCAATCACCTCTGCCGTCTTCCTCGAACCTCTCCCTCACGCGCGAGGTATGATTGCACGGTACTATCCAGACGGAGCTCAACGAAAGCTATGGATTCCAAGTCAATGAGATGAGGAAATTGCTCGACGGAGACAGATCCTGAGGCTCAGCTCAAGAAGTTTGCTTTGTACGAAGTTTGTGGGATTTTATGATTACTACCTCTCCGCCAAACTCGCTCAATGTCAAATAAGAAGTTTGCTTTGTACGAAGTTTGTTGGATTTTATGATTACTACCTATTGAAAACTGTCAATAGGAGAAATTTTGGAAATGCATATGGCATGATTTGAGTTCAGGGGTAATGCTCTTAACTTCTTTGGGGCATTATGTTGTCCTAAAGATTATGTTGTCAAGGGACAATGACTGAGTTGGGCCACGGAACTAATGTAGGAATATTTCTTTCAGTGTCGTGATGCTCATATGCTCTAGTTTGATATCATGTTATTGGTGGTCGTTGATTTCATTTGATTTAATGGATTTTCAGGTACGAGGAAGTGAGACAGTGACTACTTATGATGCAAGAACTAGAGAGTTTGTGAATCTGCTCAGAAGTATTGGATCGGTAAGGCGGCTAACTAAGTAGTCATTATTTTTAATTCTGTCAATTAGTTAAATGAGAGGTTGTTTATTCTTCTTGCTAGGATTCATTCACCTTAAGTTTTCGTATCATGTGATTTACTTTTGGGATAAATTGATTATAGTCAGGGAAATGTTGCAAATGTTACCCTTTTCTTCATGGGAGCTTCAAACACACAATGTGTTTGAAAATGATTCTATAAACCTGATGTCATGTGAGATATTTCGCTCTCTATGTAGTTATTCTGTAGACTATACACTAAAAGAGAAGACTAGCAGAGGAACTAAACTAATCTGACCAGCTTTATGTATTTGATGACAGAATGCATTTATCAGCTTGGAAGAAGATCCATCGTTGCTGAGATACGGTACTTACCTCTCTCGGGATAATGTTGGAGACGTGAGGAGAGAAGTTTATAAGCTAAGTGGAGAGCTTAGACCTCAGGCACTTGCACTCCTCACTTCATTCGGCCTTCCAGACTCCTTTTTGAGTCCAATTGCACTCAACTGGGTCGAAGCCAATGCTTGGTCTTGACTCTTGAGTTTAGTACTAATATTAGTAACAATCTCGTCCACATTTCCAAGATTTCTATTGCGTAGCAACTATTATGTAAACTTTAGACAATCCACAACACCAGAGAGATTTGGGACTATAGTGATTCGTTTGATAAGCCTTCCTCGCCTGCTTTACTATATATCTAGTAGTCACTGAAATCCGAAAATATGGACTACAGTGAGGGGGTAAATCCGTCTTTTTCTCGGGAGCTAACAAACTCTTCTATATCTGATTTTGAACTTTGATATAAACACACCACCACCCACTACTAGTACTGCTGCTCCTGCTAGACCAAATAAATCCCCAAGCGAGAGAGAGAGAGAGACGAAGAACGAAGGAATGAAGTTTAGAGGAGAGAAGAAGATGAGTCTGGAAGAGTACGTTGATTTCTTCTCGCCTGAGAATCCCGTCGACTTCACCATCTCTCACCTCAATCAGGTTTTTTCTCCTGATTCTCTCATACTATCTCTATCTGATGACTCTCTTCCTCTTCAGTCAATTTCTCTAAAATCTTCTTCGACTCGTGCTCTTCTCTGCAGATCATTCATATGCATGGTTTCCGAAAGCTCCACAAAGCTCATAAGGTATACCGATCATCTCTCTTACAATTTCGTTGCTGTATCGGTTTGTACAATTTGCGCTAGGAGTGATATTTGCTTGATCGGTCCAATCGATTTTGATACTTTTGAAAACTCCGATTTACGTCTGGGAATTTGGTGAGTTAATTTTGAGATGTTGTTGTTTACCAGAAAATTGTAGGCGAAGCCGTGGATTCTCTGAATCTAATAGATCCCTTTCGCTCGACTCTGAAACAAACCGGCGCCGTCTCGTCGTCACCATCATCGTCTTCCCTAACTCTCGACGAGGTCATAACCGACATCGAAGCTTTGAAATGGCAGGAGTGCTGTCTCACCTCGCTCCAGATCATCAACTCCGAGTCGTCGTCAACGTCGTCAGCGCCAGCGCCCAAACGTAATCAGAAATCCAACAAGAGAAAGAAAGCCACAGGGACGACTACGAAATCTGGTGATGAGAATGGCATCACGACAGTGGTCTCATTCCCAGCTTTGCCGAGAAAGATTAGAACCAAAAAGACTATGAAGAGCATCACCTCCTTGAACGAAGCTTCTGCACCACTAAAACCACTCTCTGACAACAACAGTTTCCCATCCAGGTTCACTACTATTCCATAAATCTCACTTTCTAAATTTCAAACTCTGTTTTTTAAAAATGTCTATGTTCTAGAGGACTTCAAGTCTGGTTTGTGAATTTTAGATCCATTGCTTATATTTTTTAATAGATTACTATGCAGCATTATACAGAAAGCATAAATGAGTAGCATAATTAATCAACCGATTGAGCTTCAATTGCCATTACATAGTAAGCTCAAACAAACAAAAATAGTAAACATCATCAACGAAGCCTTGTAAGCAAATGATAACATATGGCTTGTTGTTAACTTATGATTACATTACTCAAGCTCACTCACATAATAGAACAAGCATTGGGATTCTCATCACTGAACTTAGAACCTGTCTGGTGGCTGAAGATAGAGGCATGAACAGGGTGGTGCCTGTAAGACGAATACTCATTGCTATCGTAACCATGCTTGTAGTAGTTGTAAGAAGATGTCGGCACTGGCGCTGCGTGGTTTATTGGGCCGTTGCAGCCCTGAGGGTTGTAGAAGTAGCCGCCGTTGATGCTGCTGCTTCCGCCTCCTAGGTTAGGGTTATAAGGGAGCTGCCATAGCTCAGCTCTCCTTCCCGTTTTTCTCACTTTCTTTAGAACCTTCTTCTGATCGGCATAGCCGGTCACCGTCACTTTCTGCTGCACCATGTCGATTTCTACTCCATCCACTCCTGTTTTCATTATGTTCAACAACAACAAACAAAAATTATCAGTTTATGAATTTTACACCCGAAATTAATTAGTATAGACCAGCAATTAGCTAGATAGATCAAATGATGTCTCACCTCTCATCTTCTGAAGGGCATTTCTAACTCTGCTTTCGCATCCCACACAATCCATGTGAACTCTCATCTCAATAGTCTGAAGATGATTAAGAGATTGTGAAATTCATTTTATTTACTAGATTAAAAGAAAATGGCATCGATCCATGCAATAAGCAAACAATATATATATATGAATTAGAAGAATTCAAACAAATTAAACCAAAAGAAATTTGCTCACCGACATCTTGATGAACTTTTGTTGATGATTTTTAGAAAGAATTTTGAAGGTTACGATGGATATATTTTGATCAATGGATGGCAATGGGCATGTTTGATATATATATAGTGTTCCGTGCACTTGAAGCTTACGAACCCCTTTTCTTGATTTTAAATTAATAATAACTTGGGGACCATATATGATTAAGAAACAAGGTATTAATATTATTTTTGCACCGACTTTTTTTTTTAAGTTGTAAAGCGTGTAGAGATGATGAGTTGGGAAGAGGTTGCTTCTGATGGGCATCCACAACGGAAACATATTGTATAGTTTCAATGTTTATATTTTCGGCATCGCATGCAGCTTCAAATGTTATACATTATTGAATTTATCACTTCTGAAAGTCATATAACAATGCCAAACGAAAGAAAATTTAAGGTTTCTCGTGAGGTATTTTTTATTTGTGCGGGTATGTATATCGATGTCTTATTGAAACGTCATAAGATTTAATTTTTATGGCCAACAATATGACCGTTCTGTTAAAAAAAAAGAAAAAAGGAATATGACCGTTGACTTAATTTATTGGTTGTAAATGTGAATTAAGGATTTGAGAGGATAAGAGAGCAAATTAAAAGTTGACTTATGGAAATCAACTGAATATTGTAAACTTGGGAGCAAAGCATAAACGAATAACACTCAATTCGTAGTGCTCAGCGAGCGAAACTGACGGATCTGGTCCATATTAGCCGACCAAGTATTGTTTCATTATCCAATTAATTACTGCTTAATCAAACCATTGTTTTATGTGTTAACCGGTTTAGAGAAGTTTAAGCTCTGGTTATATGTGGCTTTCAAGTTCTAGGTCATGAGGATTACATTGGAGGGATTTGTCTTTCTTCTACTCGTTACAGTCACTCAAGTGTTTTCATTGTCCCTTGTTTACATAGGAAATTTAGGCAACGCTCTTAGGTTTTGTACGAGGATAAACGATCAAATAAATTGTAAGTAAAGATTTTGCTATCCCAAGAATCAAGACCGGCTTGGTGTATGAATTGTAGTACGAGAATTTGGTATTACAGTGAATGTGCAAGCCTGTTATGTGATGTAACTGGCTTTGCATTTTGGTGAAGCCCAAACTTTATATGTATATTCACTAAAAGCTCTCGGTTTTCTCATCTTTTTTCAAACACAAAGAGAAAAGAAAAAGAAAAAAACTAAACACTATTTTTTTTGTCAACGATTTGTTAATTAACTCGTCAAAACCCTAAATGTGTTATTTGCTTGACGGTTACGCTACCTATGTGAGCCAAGAACCGAGGAAAACAAAAAAAAACCCAGCAACTATGTCTGAATACAAAACCCCAGAATAAAATAACCAGACACAAGAAGAGAGAAACATGGCAGAGTCAGAGTATATAAGAACAACGATGATAGAAACCCTAATTAAATAACGTTAATAATTATTGCCTTGTTGCAGAAGAAACCCAGTCCCCGTCAACCCATTCGAGATGCCTTCTCAGATAGTAAAGTGGGTACTCGAGCTCCTCACCTGTCGTCGCAAAGTAAACGGAGTACAAGTCTCTTTTCCGACCGGTGACCTCTCCGACCCACCACCCGTCTTTGTCGAAAGCATCGACCTTGTCTTGTCTGCAAAATACCACGGGGAGAGATTTGGGAGGCATCGGACGAAGTTCCTCGGCAGAGATGACTTCGATTAAGCGTTTAGATTCGTCGTCCTCCGACACAAGATTCTTGTACTTAACTTTGTAGTAGGAGGATCCGAATCTATCGGGAGTCTTCGACAGTACCGTGGCAGCGAAGTAAGAACCCAAGAAACCGTCTTCTTTGCTGCAGACTTCAACTTTATCTCCTTTCACGAACTCCATTGTTTCAGTACGATACCTTTTCTATTTTTCTTGGTTTCTAATAAATAATACAAGGATTAGTGTGTGTTTTATAAGAGATTTTTTTTTTTTTTTGCGTTTTACTTCTTTTAAATTTTTCCTTTTTATTTTTTGTAAGGATCGGGTTGTTGTTTTCTTTTTCCTTTTCCTTTACCTAATGGGAATTTAATCATATGATTAGCCAACGAGGAAATCTTATTAAATCTTATTGCACACTAAATTCAATTTTTAACTACTATACCGAGTGGGAATTGTACATCACGAAATAACGGGAAAAAAAAAACTTAATATTAGTTTTTCACTACGAATTTAATCATCATCATTGCATTGGTCACATTATGTATCTATCTTTTGAAAAAAAAAAAAAAGAAAAAAAAAGTGGTTCTCATGGGCCTTAGTCTCAGCGACTAGTTTGAATTTACGTTTGGAATATGTGTTTTTTTTTTGTTTGTCATAGAAAAATATATTGTACTGTATGTTAATTTAACGTTGAGTATAGGAGGCTAATGTATAAAAAATGAATGCCACCGGCATGATGACCCGAAGACACAGTTATGTGTTTTTGTATCAGAGACCATTAAATTGGGTGGTGTTATTACTTATTACCAAGCCCTCTAGCTAATACAGTAATACTACATTATATTGTCTGCAGATGAATACTGCAGATTTATTTGTGCGATTCTCTGGTAGCTGTCCGTATACATATATTATGGTTGTAGGCCGTTTTACATTAATTTTATCTTACCAACTTAAATTTAACAGTACATTATATATAGACTCGAACATATATATGCTGCTAAGTTCTAAGTGCTAACCCATGAAAGAGGTCACCAACCTTACAATGTCACCCCCAATCTCTTGTGTAGTAGTCACACTAATTAATTAATTAATACTTCGGCTTCTAGTTACTTTTACTTACGAATATAAAAAAATCGAACAATTTAAAGAATCTTGTTATAAATAAGAGTTATTCTATCATCTATGTAAAGACATTGCTAAACAATGCACAAAAAGAAAAAGGTACATTGATAGACAATACCTTCACAAGTTCGATTATCATCAAATCTTTTTTTTTCTTTCATTTTTAAGGAATTTTTTTTTTGTTGTAATTAAGACAGAATATGTACGTGTGCATTAATTATACCAAACGTGACGAGATTTAGTCTTCCACGACCTTTTTGCATACTCGCCACTCTGCTTTGGCTGGAGAGCCATCGTCTCTAGTGGGAATTGGATCACACATATTGGACCATGATGAATTGTATTTGGTTTGAGTTATGATAAGTTGTATGAACATATATGAAACTATATGGGCTAATGTTGTTGCGTTTAAGCCAGGTCCACTTAGTTAAATGCATTTGAGCGACCAGTAGTCTCCTTGAATGCTCTATCTGCCTCTTCCATTTTTATCTTTTGTAAACCGGCAGCAGCACATGTTTTAATTTCCCCATAACTTAAGTTTTTCTTACAGAGCCTCTTTGTAAAATTTTACCATTAACAAAAGGACTAAAATAATATATATTATATGCCCAACGGCCAACGCTATTTCGATTTTGCCAAATTTCGTTTGAACGTTGAAAGCTAGATTCTTCTATAAGTCTTTAATATATATAGCTTCGAAGCCTTCTACATGCATCATCCCAACATATATTATATGTATACAATTATCTTTTTCCGCGGGAGTAGTATATATATATAATTTGTTAATGTAAAATAAGTTCCACTTCCAATATATATATATACTCATTTGGTTCGAACTCTGTCTGCTGCATGCATGTGGAGTTAAATTTTGCTGGAAACTAGCTAGTGACATTTTTTTCATAACGTGAATCTTCTTTATTTGTCATATGAGAAAACAAATACTGATGTGTATGATTCATGCAATAAAAAGCTCGAAAAAAAATAAAAAAAATTATGTATTAAAAAACAGAGTCACGAATGTCTCCTGTTTATGTCGAATGTTAAGAATGACACGAAGAAGAGATGTCTACAAAAATAGAACAGTGACAGGTAATGACGATGTCATGTCACTGGCAAATCTCTGAGAAACGGAACCCTAGCTATTGAATTAATATGTGAGATTATATATAGATAAAGCTATTAAATCTTCTTTGTTTGTAGTCGCCATCAAATAATAACACAAAATAATTGAATATATTTGATGATCCAATTCGCACGAAGACTTTAATAAGTATAATCTCTGGACCACAAATTTTAAAACGAGATTGGGAAACAGATCTCATTTGACTATACCCGCAAGCGAGAGACAACATCATGCGCGCATCTTGTACAAATATCTCTCCCTTCACTTTAACTACTATATATATATATTTTTTGTATTTTCTAAAAAAATGATTTTCTCTCTTCGATCGAATATATATTAAGATTTTCTTATTCTTGACACTAGTTAACAAGAAACGAGTATATATTCACCAATAAAAATTAAAATATTTGGCTTTTTTCATTAATATAATGATCATACAAAATAAAAACTTTTAAGTCTACTATTGTTTTCATAATATTATTTTTATGAAAATCATCCATAAGGCTATATATATATAATTATAAAGCTCTCTTACTATATTATGTTCTCTTACATAGTTCAACTTAGGTTACTTTTGTTTATATAAATAAACTCTGCATGGAGATGATGATATATTTTTCAGATATTGAAATCAACGACAAGTCAGAGAGCCAATTTATGTTTCTGGAATTCAGAGGGCAACTTGACGTCAGTGGCTAATCCGAGAACCTCAAGCAGCCTAATGAGATACCAAGTGATATCTATTTGCCACCACTCCAATCCTTGCCTCGCCGATGACTCAAACGCGTGGTGGTTGTTGTGCCAACTCTCTCCCATCGTAAATATGCTTAGCCACCTTTAAAAAAAAAAAACACATTCACAATATCAATGATCGCCAAATCTAAAAATAGACTATGTGGGATCATTTAATAATAATGTTATATTACCAAACGTTACGAGATGTATCTTTAGTCTTCCACGACCTCGAACCCCAAATATGGCATGCTGAGTTTACTAGCCATGTCACGTGGTACCCTATCACACCTCCTACGCCCTGTTAATGAAACAAATTATAATATATATATATATATATCAATGATACATACAAATATATATATATCAATGATACATACAAATGATTTTCATATCAGTTTTTATAGAAATAAAATTAATAGGATTACCCCGCCGCATGTAAGGTAGGGTAAACCACCATAGAGATAGAGGCCGACCCAAAACATTAAGACGTGGAAACCAATTGTCATTCGTAGAAACCAATAGAACCACTGCTGCTTCAAGTCCATCACGTTGTTACGTCCTCCACACTGTTTTTTCGTTTTCATTTTTTCAATTAACGTAACAACACCATGATAATAAGTCATATATAAAAGCACAGTCTACTTTATATAAACGTTATGCTACCTTATATTTGATATAGTGAGTGTCACATATCCACCACACATGACTGAACCAAAATCCTTCGATTGGGCTGTGTGGGTCGCGATCTGAATCTGTGAACTGGTGATGGAACCGATGTATGCTCACCCAATCCAACGGATCACCCTGAGAAAATAATCCATATTTATTTATACTTTTGAAAACGTCTAAAAGGGAAAACGTTTAACGTACAGATATGTAAAACTTAGTTAGTTTTATCAGTAAACCGGGTTTAAACCTGAAGAGCAAAAACAGCAAAATAAGCTGAAGGGTACTCGAGCCATTTGGGGAGTTTAAAGCTCCGATGAGCCAAGTTCCTGTGGTAGGAGAAGGTGATGCTGAGTGAAGTCAAGGCGTAGAGCACGAAACCAAACCGCAAAGCTTCCCATTTGTAGTTAAACGGTGCCAAGAGACACAAAAAGTGCACTATCATAACTGTTGACGCTCTTATTATATCGGCCCACGACCAATATCTATGAATATAAGGCCTTTTTTTCTTACTAACCGCACCTCTTTGGCTAGAGCCATTGCCTCTAACAGGATCACACATTGCACCGTCTGAAGAAGTTCTTTCTTATTTTTGTATGTTTGAGTTATATATATATATATATATATATATGATTTTATGAGCATTATAACATGGAACAACGTAGGAGTATATATATGGGCAATTGTTAGCGTACGTGAAGGTCCCCGGGCGTTTGTTAAATGCGATTAACCACTCTTCTTTAATGTTCTATCTACTTCCCTCCCATTTCTATCTTTAATACTCTCTGGCACCAGCACATGTTTTCACTCCCCAACGTTCAATTTAGATTATTTATAACCTTTTTATATATAATAATGTATATATACCATTATCCGAAAAGAAAGTAGAAAATACTACTACTCACTGCTCATCTCGACGTATTGGTATGTCTCCATCGCCTGGCTAAAGATAAAAACTTTACTCTCCACGTTAACCAAGACAAATCCTTTTGCCATGTTTCTTACAAGTATTTATTACGAATAGCGTGGCTAGCCCAACTAATCCTGTTAGTCGTCTAAGAATTAATATTCACACAGAGTCACAGTCTCACAGATGAGGACCTTACATCATGAAAGACATGCTATATATGTTATCCGTTTCATGCAGAGCTTTTATTATGCTAGCTATTCTGCATTATCTTAATGTGTATATATATCTTCGAGGCCTTCCATGCACTTTATCATTCAAGGGTACAAATGATATCGGGATCGAAAGACAAACATTTTTTTGTGAAGTTGCAAGAAAAAAGAAAAAGGAAAAAAAGAGTAACGATGCTTTTGAATACTGCGTGTAGTGGTTGGGGATCTTAAAATGTCTCTTTTAATGCTTCTATTTATAGTAATACTGGAGATATAGTAGAGAAGAATAAGTAGAAAACCATTAGTATCTTTAAATAGAAATTTTTCATATACGGTAACGCGTATACAGAAAAATACTAAAGTTTGTTGCCAATACACGACTGGAATTGTGACCTCAGGACCTATGAGCACTGTGAGCTACCAACTGAAAACGAAACAAAGATAAAAACTTGGACAATAAACTTTAATCGAAGAAAGACTTGAATGCGCCTATACTTCACATACGTACGTACAAATACATAGAACCTATTTATTTACATTTAAGAAGAATGGCTCTCTCCGATCCAACTCTGTTGATTCAAAATTTTCAACATATATTTATTTGGACCCCTCCCTTCCCCACCCCATCCCTGTCCATGTCCTCCGTAATCAAATTGCTTGGGGGTTCTACAGATACGCTGATAACACACTATTGTTGCAAGTCACAGTCCAACTAACTATAAACCAGTCTAATAACCACTAATGCATACTTCAATCAGTCATCAAGACCCTGGCCAATCCCGCAAAATATTTTTTCGTTTGGTTTCACTTTGTACGAGTGTACCATAAGTTTTCAATCTGATGATTAGTAGGTATGTCCCATCACTTAGCATTGTTAAATCGTTTTGTTAATTAATATAAATATATAAACCTTACCTACATTCATACAAGTTGTTTACAGAGATTCCAATGTAACCAGGGAAACTAAATGCGACTGTGAGAGAGGCAACTTCTTCTTTTTAATGACTTCTCTGTTTTTTTTTTTTTCTTTAAGGTAAAGTAAACAGTCAATTCAAATACAGTAGAGTAATTGGTTTTTTACCTGATGGAATAAAGTCAAACTCATGTATAGTGCCATCGGGATACTGGTAACAAGCAAAGAGAAGTCTGAAATTCTTATTTTTGAGTCCACATGATGATATGATTCTTTCTAGGGACTTGCACTTTCATGATTAAAAGATGAACCAGATGCTTCCATTTGAGCTACCTACAGAATATCTACGCTATGTATGGGGCAGCACATGTATCATAAAACCTATCATTCATAATCAAAGCAAATGACATGTAATTCTTGATCAAAAGATGTTCATTTGCTCTTTTGAAGTTTTCAACAACGGACGTACATCAATATTACCTGAATTCTTTGTGGCCGAGTGAAACCGAGGACCAAAGACCCATTTGGGACAAAAGACCTAACAGAATAAGCATGTAAGCGCAATGAAATTTTGAAAACAAAAAACATTAAACATACTAGGCCACTAGTATATCCCCATGATGGTAACTACAGTTCCAAATAGAGATGCGGACCAACTTGAAACACTTCCTGCACACGGAGCATCTGAGAGTTTAAACAAATAGAGATCACCAAGAGCTCACAATACGTTTTGCAGGAGATGTGGAGTTTTGTTCTGCAAAGAAAGGGAGAGGTTATAACAGAGTCCAACAGTGCAAAATGAAGTAATGGAACAATTTGTTTGGAAAATTCAATTTAAGAATGGAGCTGAAAGAAGACACAACACGAGGGAGGATATAATTCCAAAAACCAAGAACCCGTACTCATGTGTGTCAAACAAACCTTTTAACAAAAACCAAACCCTTAGTTGACTGGCATAAACAATTCTTTCTACCTTAATCGGAAGAGGTGAGAGCTAGAATTGCAAAAAAAAATCAAGTCAAATGGAGAGTCAAAGACAACCTACACTAGTCCATATAAGCGAATTAGGAAATCACTGGAATTTCAATAAACTCACATTCTGGAGAAATCTAAACTCAAAATCTTCTTATTCGACCAAAAAAGCTTACATCGTTAAAAAGTAACAAAACGTTGTTTACATCCCAGTACAGAAAATACTGACCATTACCTAGGGAGTATCATCAAGGCCCTGTCACATGAAAGACTTTATACAAGAATGCGTATAATATGGAATGTGAAAATAGCTTTGTATTTCTATATCCTATTCCCATGTCAAATGCATGTACCTATCATATGATCAACCAAGAAACAATCTTAAGAAATGCAAGAATGAAACGTGAGACAGAGCAAGAATATCTACCTCAGATATACTTCGACCTGATTTGGAAGAGCCAGTATCCGAGTCCTGATAGCCGTCGGCATTCTTCTGCTTCCTAGTTGCAATTGAAGACGAGGCAGTCCAAAAATGAGTTGAGGTTGAGCAGTTCTGGGATTAAACATTTTTACCATGTTATAGGTAAATTAACTGCTTAGCTATCAGTATTGCGGTTCAACGCAAATCCGTCCTTAAAGCTATGCCATAAAAAATAAATCCTAGCACTGGTAATATAATCATGGGATGACACAAAAAAGGATTGCAAACTAAGATTTTTTGAAGGAAAAACATCAGCTTCCTTGGAAACGAAACAGATGAACAAAGCGTCGTTATTGATAAAGAATATAGAGGAAAGCCTTAATACGACTATTTTATTTCTCAGAGGAATTTCAACGAACACCTAATACGCAGAAATTCTATACACAGTTACCCTAAAAATTGAGACTTTAAAAAAAAAAAAAAAACGAATTCTAGCTGTATCTCAATGCAGAGGAACCGAAAAAATTTGAAATCCACTGCAAATTGGACAAAGAAACGAAGCAACAAGTCTCTCAGAATCCAAGACAAATCAATTTCCTAAGTTTCAGTCGGTACGCCACATACCTTACCTTATCGGACCCCGGAGGATAAGAAGAAGAGGAAGTTGTCACATATTTAGGAGCCGGGGAGCTGTGACGAGTTTCGCCGGCGTTCAGAGGACAAATCGTTTGACAAGATGACAAATTAGATATAAGGAAAAGGGCGCCATCATCATACAACGCATTTAATATTATTATAGATTTTGAGTAAAAAAAAAAAGAAAAGGAAAACGAATATAATATAATAATATTGAAAGTAAAATAAAAGAGTAAAACGCAATAATAATCTTAAACCCTTGGAAACCCTAATTTCGCAATTGCGCCGTCTCTCCCTTCTCTCGCCGGAGAATGAGCACTACTATGACTGCTCTTCCGCCGCGTCACCAGTCGAAGGTTGACCCGAATAACGTTAACAGAGCCGTGAAATCTCTGTTAAAATGGTGGGACTCCAAATCCAAGTCCCAGAAATCAGAGCAGCTTGAGAACGACGGTTTCGTCTACCTAATCGTGACACTGAAGAAAATCCCCCAGTTGGATCGGAGTAACCCCTTCATGATCCCTCTTCCTCATCCTCTCATCGATCTGACCGCCGAAGATTCGCCGGAGCTCTGTTTGATCATCGACGACAAACACAAGAACAAAATCACAAAGGAAGCGGCTTTGAAGAAGATCGAAGCAGAGAGGATTCCGATCACCAGTGTGATCAAAGTCTCCAAATTGAAGTCGGATTTAAGCAAGTTAGAGAAGGAGGAGCGATGCTGCGAGCTGTATTTCGCCGAGAGGAGGCTCATGCCGATTTTGCCGAAGATACTGGGGAAAGAGTTTGTTAAGAAGAAGAAGAACCCGATCGCGATTAATCTGAGGCATGGGAATTGGAAAGAGCAGATTGAAAAAGCTTGTGAATCGGCTCTGTTCTTCGTCGGTACAGGTACGTGTAGTGTTGTAAAAGTAGCGAAATTGTCCATGGGAAGGAAGGAGATTGCAGAGAATGTTATGGCGAGTATAAATGGGATTGCTGATTCAGTTCCTGGCAAATGGAAGAATGTTAGATTTTTTCATATCAAGTTGCTTGAGAGCATGGCATTGCCTGTTTATGAACAAGTTGGACAAGCCTAACTCTGATGATAGTGTTTAAAGAAGGTAATGGATGATCGATCTGGTTACAATTTAGTCACAGGTTTTGGTTATTTTCTTCTGTGGAACTTTTTCTCTTGCTGTAATGTTTAAGATTATGCCTGCCTAGAATGATATAGTGCAAAAGATGGCTTTTAAATGCAAAATCTTAATTTCCATGAGTGGGTATTTTGAAAATTTGAAGAAGTAATCACAGAAAGCACCTTTTGTCATGTGTAAGCAGAAGGATGCTGTTTGAATATGACAGGATGGTTTTTGGTTTTGAAAGGATCTAGTTTTCCTTCTTTATTGAATTCCTTTGTCTTCGCAAAGGCATGATATTCTATTGATCTTTCTTCGTTTGAGAATTGTTCTTGTATAATCTCAAAAATATAGGTTCCAATTCTTGGTGTTTTCTCAGTCTCTTGATATACGTGAGCTGTATCGTTCTAAATTCTTGTTCGATAGCTATTCCAAATAGCAAAAACTGGTTTGATGAAACCGATGGTGGAACACAGTTATGGTACATCTAACTTAAAAGCTCTTTTATGTGATAGTGTAACGAAAAATAGACCATCGGACCATCATTCATATTTATTGGTAGACTGTATGTATACTCAGATAATTATTATATAAAAAAAAGAACACTTCATCAATGATGAGAGCAAAAAGGAACCAAAAATTAAAGAGTAAATGGTAGCAAGTGGTCTTGAAGTTAAGGTTCAAATCTAAAAATGATTAGGAGTATTAAATTTGATACCATAATGAGATAGAATAATGTAATGGAGTTTCTAACTTAAGTAATTTAGTTATCATTAAATAATAAAAATTCCAAAGGAAAGTGTTTTAATTTGATTATTAATCAAAAGAGGTAGAATTGTGATTGGAGCGTTACAATCACGCGCACTATAGTCTTCCATGGGGGGGTCCTCGTTTTTGTGCTTTGAACAATGGGGGAGAAAAAGAAGAGTCTTCTTTACTCATAATAATATTTAGTTCAGTGGTTGAGAGAGAAAGTGTTATAAAACAAAAAAGCGCACATGGCTTCATTACCACTATTGGGGCCTCAGCCTCATGCTCTTGCTCCTCCTCCGCCGCACCTTCACGACGGTGACGCTTTCAAACGCCGTCCTGATATGGATTCAGATAAGGTTTGCTTCCTCCCCCGCCTCTCTCTTGTTTTCTCTATCTGTTTTGACGTCTGTGTTTGGTAAACAGTGCATTTGAATTTAGAGTTTGGTGGCTGTTCTAGATCTACTCCGATCTTTGCTCCTTTTTTTATTTTTAAATATTTGTTCTATGTCTAAGCACAGTAGAATCGATTTGTATTCTCGTCCTCATGGTTTTGTTCGTCCGTCGTCCCTGATCTGAGCTCACCAGAGAGTTGTTTTTTTTTTTACTCCGGCGAGGCCTTTTATATAGGAGACTGCGATTTATACTTCATTTGTTTGCATGCAGTATTGCTAGTCAGCTTGATTGATTACTCTTATGATTTTCCCCAGTTACTACTTCAAACTTTCTCTACCGGAGATCTAAGCAAATCAACAGTAACCTTTTGAATCTTGTGTGCAAAATTTAGAGCTGAATTGAATTAGTTGATTTTCATTGGGTAACACCTGTATTTCATATCAAACTAGCTTGAGTATTTTTCCTTCATGTCAGATTATTACATATCAGTGAAGGTCTATTTATTTCAACACTGTTCATTCTTCAAAGTACATTTTGCTTGTTTGGATATCTCATATTATTTATTTCAATAATCAATACTGTTCATTCTTCAAAGTACAATTTTCTTTACTTGTAGATCTCTGAATTCACTCTTGGCAGGGTTTTGGAGTATTCCTATAGTTATGTCTTTCTCTTGGCCCATTGCTTCTTTGCTTTGTCTTTCTCTATCTCTCTCCCTTCTATCTGTGGCCGACATTTATTCTCGATTTTATTACTTTGGCTTGTCCTTCCCTCTGGCATAACTTATTCCATTTACTTGTATGATTTATCTCTGGCAAAACTTACCTCGGGATAAATGATAAATTAAGTTTGTTTTGATCATTTTATGCAATAGCATTCTTATACAGTCATATTTATCCCAAGGCTTGTTGGAAGCAGTAAATGCTTAACATCTCTCTTCCACCTTGTTGTTAACTTTAATCAGAATTGTTTAACGCCTATTACTAATATGTGAGGTGGATTGCAGGAAATGACTCCTGCGGTTGTAGAAGGAAATGATGCTGTTACCGGTCATATCATTTCCACTACCATTGGTGGCAAAAACGGTGAACCCAAGCAGGTTGGTTTCTAATGTTTGCAAAACCTTTTAAATAACTAGAACAACACCACTACAGTACCATGTGTAATGTTACTGCAGCTTTGGCCTGTGTTACTCATTTCGCACCATATGTTTCAGCAAGTGTTACTTTTCCACTAAAACTATTAACAGATAGATAAGAATAACTGATTATGATCTCTTTGTTTCCAAGTTGAAGTAATCATTTTCATTCTGTCCCTTACAGACTATTAGTTACATGGCTGAACGGGTTGTTGGAACAGGTTCATTCGGAATTGTTTTCCAGGTATACTGTGCTCCTCTATGCTAGCATTTACTGGTCATAAATCTTATTTTCCCTCTCTGATCAAGTCTAAAAATAACTATTTTAGGCGAAATGCTTGGAAACTGGAGAATCAGTAGCCATTAAAAAGGTCTTGCAAGATCGACGATACAAAAACCGTGAGTTGCAACTAATGCGACTAATGGATCACCCAAATGTCATCTCCTTGAAGCACTGTTTCTTCTCCACAACGAGTAGAGATGAGCTCTTCCTCAACCTCGTTATGGAGTATGTACCTGAGACTTTGTACCGGGTTTTGAGGCACTATACTAGTTCAAATCAGAGAATGCCAATTTTCTATGTCAAACTCTACACATATCAAGTATGCACACTGTTACTTGCAGTTTGTCTCGCAAATAACATCTAATTAAGTTGATTCTGAAACTAATAAAAAAAATCTAATTGCAGATCTTCAGAGGTTTGGCTTACATCCATACTGTTCCTGGTGTTTGTCACAGAGATGTGAAACCACAAAATCTCTTGGTACGTTATCTAGCATGGCATGTGTTTTGTAACCTTGACAAGTTTTTGGATCTAACTTTCTGGTGCATACTGTAGGTTGATCCCTTAACCCACCAGGTTAAGCTGTGTGATTTTGGAAGTGCAAAAGTATTGGTAAGGGTGATATCTTTCATTAACTCAGTTTCTTGTGTTTTTTGCTTTTCTATGTAATTACACATGTAGGTCATACGTTACAATTAAGTGTGAGCTTTAGGAATTATATTGCTTTCTCATTTCTCAGAAGTTATATAGAGAAGTATAGGCGGTAGCAGCATGTTCTGTCGCCCTCTTAAAGCATTCATTTCATGCATCTCTGTTTTGGTAACCCTTTAAATGTTTGGCAATACACTTTAGGTAAAAGGTGAAGCTAACATATCATATATATGCTCCCGTTACTATCGAGCTCCGGAACTCATCTTTGGAGCCACAGAGTATACAGCATCCATAGATATATGGTCTGCTGGTTGTGTTCTGGCTGAGCTTCTTCTTGGCCAGGTTGGTGTGGCTTTCTTGCGCTAATAAAGATCTGTTACATATAGTATCTCTGCAAATAGTGCCCGCCTGATGTTATATTATCTCAAACTCTCTCTGCAGCCTTTATTTCCAGGAGAAAATTCAGTTGATCAGCTTGTGGAGATCATAAAGGTGAACTCTCCTTTACTAATAATACCTGGATTCTTTTTTTTTTAGTTTAAGAATATAGGAGATTGTTATCATGAGTTCTTGCTACGTTGATTTAGGTTCTTGGTACTCCGACTCGTGAAGAAATTCGATGTATGAACCCAAATTACACAGACTTTAGATTCCCACAAATCAAAGCGCACCCTTGGCACAAGGTAATTCATCTCACCCTTCTTGTGGTCCAACAATGACTAAACTCATTACCTACACAATATTCAGAAAAGCATTTGATTGATACCACCAACCATATATTGTGCTCTTGACCTCCAGGTGTTTCATAAGAGAATGCCTCCAGAAGCCATTGACCTTGCATCTCGGCTTCTTCAATATTCACCAAGTCTACGTTGCACTGCGGTTAGTTTATTTTTATTTTTATAATTGGAATCATAATTAGACTCTTGTGATAACTTGTTTTTGACTTTTAGTGATGGACTGGAATTATAGAAGCTCGTTTAAATTCTCTTCCAAGTGTTGGATGGAGCTGAGTTTTATTTTGACATTTGTTTTTCTTCATCTCTTTAGCTCGAAGCATGTGCTCATCCGTTTTTCGATGAACTTCGAGAGCCAAACGCCCGTCTTCCAAATGGCCGTCCATTACCGCCACTGTTCAATTTTAAACAAGAGGTAAAAAAATCAGTTAGCAAAGGACTAAAAGCTAAGCTCCAAAAATGCTGCTTATTCGTGGAACTTTAACATAACCCAATTGGTTTTCTTTGAATGTGGAAACAGTTAGGTGGAGCTTCAATGGAGCTGATCAACAGGCTAATACCTGAGCATATGAGACGACATATGAGCACAGGATTACAAAACACTGTGCATGTCTGAAGAAACAGAGAAGAAAGCAGATTTACTACTTCTATTTGATATTTGACAGGTTCAGCAATATATTAACCACGACTATTATCAGCTTCTATACACTTTAGTAAAAGTCATCTTCAGCTTTTTTGAGAAATCAGAGGCTGATAGTTGCGTCTATTTCTTTTATTCCTTAGCCTGGAGAGTTGAGAGAGACACTGTTCCTCGTGTATTTTTGTATATGTTTTTGTCCGTAAAACAATTCTGACAGATCCGTAGAGAAAAAAAACGAGGCGAAAATATTGAACAAATATCATGTAACTCATGTCCACAAGTTAAGCCAAAAGATCGTCTTTTCTGTATGATCTGGGTTAACACAAAGACTATAAATAAGGCCTGATGATAATTCTCTTAATATTGACATTTGTCTTTGAAATGTTTCTTAGGGAAAGATTTGCATCTATAAAGTTTATTACAATTTTACAAGTGGTACGAGTGTGAAAGACAATTACCAATCATGTACCTTCAAAGACAATTTATAAAAAAAAAAACATACAGGCCAAATTTACCATAGCAGAAACAATTAAACATGATCTTGAAGTAATGTTTCTTATTTCATTTTGATTGCCATAGCCAAAGACATTATCATTTGATGTCTCACCCTAACCAAATCTACAATCCTCCAGTCTAGTTAGAGCAGCAGCCCATTCTCTTAAGAACCGAACCGTCTTCTTTAACGTTTATCGTCTCTCCTTTTCCTGGTAAATCAGTCGAAGATCCTTCTCCTCTGTTGGATCCATCCACACTTCTTTTGCTCACTATCTTGTGGATCTGAGTGAGCACTTCCGTGAATGCGTTTTCAACGTTGGTTGCGTCTAGAGCTGATGTCTCCATGAAATACAGAGATTCTCTCTCAGCAAAGGCTTTAGCTTCTTCTGTTTTGACTGCTACTAAGTGGCGCAAATCGCACTTGTTCCCTATGAGCATCACCACTATGTTCGGGTCTGTGTGTCCTCTTAGTTCCCTTAGCCACCTTGCTGCATTCTCAAAGGTCGCGTGCCTTGTCACATCATAGATAAGCAAAGCACCTACAGCTCCTCTGTAGTAAGCGCTGGTGATCGCTCGGTATCTATCAAAGCATAACCAAAACTAGTATAATCTTAGATGTGGTTAACAGAGATACAATAGCAACCACAGTTATTAGAGCAGTAACAGATAACTGAACAAAGTTAAAACTATTTTTATAAACGTATGACCCACATAGCAATCGTTTTTAAAAGGCATTTCAAAGTATCTACCAAATGGTTACTTTGTAAAGCAACAATCGCAGAGTTAAGGAAAGAAATCCACTTCCAAATTTAAAATGCATCTATGTCTAGCGCAAGCCAAGGCAGATGAGATGAAAAAAAAGTGTTTTCTTTCCATCAAGTGCATTGGGTTTAGAAATCCATAACACACAAGCTCGGACAAGTATCTTTGCGTGAAACCGATGGAAAGGCACAAACAATAGTAGAGTAACAGAGATTTAGATAACACTTGATATTAGTAGTAACGCAGATATCTATAAAAAGCAACACTTTTTTACTACGGGGATGGATACAGACAGGAGAGCATTGAGAGATACATATCTATAAACAAGAATCAAATAAGCACAAAAGAAAACCACTAGTAGCCTAAATGTGGTTAAATCCTAAGTAACCTGCAGAGTTTGAGGCCTGTGTCAGCACAATCTGAGACTTTTCTCTACAAATGATCAACTTCATCTGAGGTCGAACTCTCCAAAGTTTAGCAAAGCAGGCGCTTTGTTGCGACATATAAATAAAGTTAGAGAGATCAAAGAATCAGAAAATGAACAACCACACTTTCAACTTCTAAGATAAAAAAACCAACTCTTGATCTTTACATCACCAAATCACTCCCAAAAAAAGAAAGAAATCACAAATCCAGATTCATGAAATTCAGATACATAAATCTAAAGACTAAACACAATGATTCAAAAAAACTTTAATAAACAGTGAATCGAGTTTGAAAAACCTTATCTCCAAAGGATTGAAATCGAGTAAGCAGGAAAGAAGAAGAGAGGAAACGAAATCAGACCTCTCTTGACCAGCAGTATCCCAAATCTGAGCTTTGACGACTTTGCCTTCGACTTTGAGCGTTTTGGTAGCGAACTCAACGCCGATGGTAGACTTGGATTCGAGGTTGAACTCGTTCTTGGTAAACCTAGAGAGGAGATTGGATTTGCCGACACCAGAGTCGCCGATCAAGACGAGCTTGAAGAGGTAATCGTACTCTTCATCGGCTTTGTAACCCGCCATTGATTAATCGGAATTTTGGGAATAGAGAAATTGGGTTTACTCTAGTGAATTGTTGTGTTTGATGATCTCTAATAATAATAATGATTCAGAAGATTATGATAATGATGATGACGATGAAAGCTTTTTGTCGGGTTGGCTCATAATCGTTTATATTGCTTCTTCTTTTTAAAATAAATAAATTAAAAAGATATATAACACCTAAAAGTTTAAATATATATTTTAAAAAAAAATATCCGCTTAATAAGTTGCATAATTAAGGAAATCTTCTAGATATCTATATATATAAAGTTATTTGAAATCTATTTTATGAATGCTGTTGACAAAAAAACAATAAAGCTATATTAAACCAACACAGAGATATTAAAAAGCAAGAATGAAGGTATTTGGAAGTAAAGTAGAGATATTCATAGGCAATGTGAAAGTATATAAAGGTAATATAAAAATATTTGGAGGTAAAATAAAGATATTTTAAGGTAAAGTGGAGGTGTTTGGAGGCAATATGGAGATATTTGGAGGCAATGATGAAGGTATTTGAAGGTAAAGTGCATGCCGGTATTTGGAGGCAATAATAGAAGTATTTAGAGACAAAATATAGATATTTGGAGGCAACGTTCACGTATTTGGAGGCAAAGTCAAGGTATTTGGAGGCAACGTAGAGATTATTAGAGGCAAAACGGAAGTATTTGGATACAATGTAAAGATATTTGGAGGCAATGATGGAGGTATTTAGAGGCAAAGTGGAGGTATTTGGAGGCAACATTGAGGTATTTGAAGGCAAAGTGGAAGTATTCGAAGGCAATGTAAATATATTTTGAGGCAATGTGAAAATATTTGGAGGTAAAGTGGAGGTATTTGGAAGCAACGTGGAGATATTTAGATGTAATGATAGAGGTATTTAGAGATAAAGTGAAGGTATTTGAAAGCAACGTGAAAATATTTGGAGGTAAAGTCGAGGATTGAAAGCAAAATGAAAATATTACAAATTGTTGCGTTGACTTGGTGTGTTAAAGTATCTTCTAACCAGTTGTTGCCCAGTTGGAATGGTAAGAAAATATGCTTTGAAAATAATTCTAGAGATGTAAACTTGTTGTATTCATAAAACATGATCGTTTAAAGACATTATTATAAACGTTGCTTCTTCCAAAATTAGCACATAATGTGATGTGCATTGTACTCATTATATTAACCTTAATACGTACCACAGTCCACAACCCAATCTCAGTTCTTGTTATAATGATGCATATCGTACTATTTGCGATACATCTTTTTTCCTTTCACTTTACGAAAACACCATCTTATGCAAAAAAAAAATGAAAGTTCCATAAGAAAAAAACTCACATTATATTTTATATAGACCCATAAAGTTCTAACTAAAATCCGAATTTTATCCTGAGTATGATATATCTTGTTTTCTCAAATATATAAATGCCACAGATATGTCCAGACTTTTATTAAAACAATCACAAGTAGAAGAAGAATCTGACAACACAAGAAGAAAAAACGTATGGACGTTGTAACTGCAAAGCCTACAACAACAACTAAAATCAATCATTAAAGATGAAATTAATTAGACAAAAGTGCAACCAAACAATTAATTGACCAACTAGTTAATTTCTCATAATTACTACTACAATATAATATTGTTTTTAAAAAAAAAAAAAATACATAGAACAACCCACAATACATAGTATATAAATAAATACTACCCATATGCTTCCATATATTATATAATTCCCACTAACAAATAAAACAGAGAAAGATCCAAAAAAGAACGTAAGAAACTTGATCACTCCGGCTCACCACACGCTCAAAAGTGTCCCCTGCTGCGACACGTGTCAAACGGTCCAAAATAAGGTCCTAGACACGTTTGGGGGATTGTAGTAAGAGAGAGAGAGAGAGAGCACTACTTGATAACAGTAATAGGTAGCGCCCGAAGCGAAGTGGTCCACCATTCATATACATCGCACACGGCATCACGCGTCCTCACGTTGTGTCCGTTTCCCCACGCGCTACCACCGGCGAGTGACCCGATGCTCGTCGTTTGGGCTCTGTGTACATTGCCAGCTGGCAATAGTGCGAGTCCGGCTGGCTTTACTAGCCTTATCCAAATAAAAATTTCTAATATAACGGAGGCAAACGCTATTCCCACTAGCCTGTCTCTTCTTTCTACATCACCGTCCAATCCTTATTGTTCTTCAAGTACCTTTGTTATATGACATGTACCTTGCAGACAGCGAAGCATACGACTCGGTGACGGTCCTCTTTTTATTTTATTTTTTAAGAGCTTTATATTTTTCCTATATTTTACGCCCCTTGGATTTGACCAGTAAAAATCATAACTCAAAAAATTAAATAATATTCCCTTTGAGATTCATATCCGAGAGAAGAGAGAAGAGAGAAGAGAGAGAGAGGGAGAGATTGCTTCCATATCACACACGATGTACGACTGTTCTACGTACGACTTTATCCTTAATTTCACATCCCACCTTTCCTTCCTCCGTTTTATTATTTTTTGCCCTTAGCTTTTCATAATCTCCCATAAACACCCAATAGTTCCTTTATTCAATATATATAGATTATGTTGTTTTTTTATACTATTTCTTTTTCTCATCTTTATAATTATTATTTTAATAAATGTAATTCAAGAATAATATATTTTTTAAAAAAAATATTTCACCTATTTCTAAAAATCAGTTTAATAATATTAATATTTTATAATTATAAAAATTACTCTTATGAAAATTGTATGCAACTTAGATTTGTTCATCATTATTATTTTTTGAAAGAAAAGCCAACATATCATTTCAAAAAGAATTATTATTATAAATGGAAATGGTATCTCTTAAATGGTAAGAAACTTTTGACTTTTAGAGTATAGTAATATATATAGTGGTCATAGTAGCTTGGTCTATTAGAATAGAAGGGCATATTTGCTATTATTCCTAAATACACATATGAGGCTGGAAACTGAGTTTTTTTTGTTTTTTTTTTTAATGTTTTAATTTTTTTTTAGAGTTTGCCATATAAACCCTAGATTAAATTTCACGTTTTCATTTTTTTGGGTTAGATAGAGAAGATCAGATTCTTCTTCGTTTGCCAAAGGAACAAAAAGGTGAGTCTCTCGATTCGTGACAAATCCAAAGTAGATATTTTTTTTCTCCACGGTTTTCAAATTTTTCTTCGTTTTCGGGTTCCTCTATTTCTCTTTGCTCAATTGAGGGATCGGGTCGCTCCGATTTAGGTGTATCTGAAAGGTTAATCTTTCTTTCGTTTTTGTTTAGCTTTTGGGTCGTAATTTTATGGATCTTGCTTTTCAGATGATTGGAATGTGTCATCCATTCGATTTTGTTATTTTGCTTGTAAAGCTCAGTTTTTTATTTTTTATTTTGGTTCTTCTTAACTCAGTGATAGAGAGATGATAAGTGACTATTGTTGATTATTTCGATTTCTGGGTATTTGCTCAAGCTCTCGATTTGGTTTGATTTCATTTTACCCCAAAACTGATTTTTATAGTATTTGGTATCTCTGTTCGTAGATCTTGTTTGAGTTTTGTTCGTGGAGATTGACCTTACCGCCTTTTGTTTTTTCTCTTGATGCAGATTTATCGAACTAGTGTTTAATTTGTGGATTCTGGAGACAAGCAAAGATGATTTCTAGGTCGTACACAAATTTATTAGACTTGGCATCAGGGAATTTCCCTGTCATGGGAAGAGAGCGTAGGCGGCTTCCTAGGGTAATGACGGTTCCTGGTAATGTGTCCGAGTTTGATGAAGATCAAGCGTATAGTGTCTCTTCCGATAATCCTTCCTCGGTTTCATCTGATCGAATGATCATTGTTGCTAACCGTCTCCCGTTGAAGGCGGAGAAACGAAATGGAAGCTGGAGTTTCAGTTGGGATCAAGATTCATTGTATCTCCAGCTTAAGGACGGTTTGCCTGAGGATATGGAGATATTATATGTTGGCTCTTTGAGCGTTGATGTTGATTCACATGAACAAGACGATGTGGCGCAGATACTGTTGGACAAATTTAAATGTGTTCCTACGTTTTTCCCACCTGATTTGCAATCCAAATTTTATGACGGTTTTTGCAAGAGGCAGCTATGGCCACTCTTCCATTACATGCTTCCGTTTTCTGCTGATCATGGTGGAAGATTTGATAGGTCTCTTTGGGAAGCTTATGTTGCCACTAATAAGCTCTTCTTCCAGAAAGTAATCGAGGTTATTAATCCAGATGATGATTTTGTCTGGATTCATGACTACCATTTGATGGTCTTGCCGACGTTTCTGAGAAGACGGTTTAACAGGATAAGGATGGGATTTTTCCTTCACAGTCCCTTCCCCTCATCTGAGATATACCGGTCTCTTCCTGTTCGAGAGGAAATACTTAAGGCGTTACTAAACAGCGACCTTATTGGCTTTCACACTTTCGATTATGCTCGGCACTTCCTTACTTGCTGCAGTCGGATGTTGGGTCTAGAATATCAGTCTAAGAGAGGCTACATTGGGCTGGAGTATTACGGGAGGACTGTGGGAATCAAGATCATGCCAGTGGGGATCAACATGGGTCGTATTCAATCGGTGATGAGATATTCAGAAGAGGAGGGTAAGGTGACTGAGCTCCGAAATCGTTTCGAAGGTAAGACTGTGTTGCTTGGTATCGATGACATGGATATATTCAAGGGTATAAACCTGAAGCTTCTAGCAATGGAACAAATGCTGAGGCAGCATCCAAATTGGAGGGGAAGGGCTGTTCTTGTTCAGATTGTAAATCCCGCTAGGGGTAAAGGTATTGATGTAGATGAAATACGTGGTGAAATCCAAGAAAGCTGCAGGAGGATCAATGGAGAATTCGGGAAACCTGGATATCAACCTATCATATATATTGATACTCCGGTTTCTATAAATGAAATAAATGCCTATTACCATATTGCTGAGTGCGTAGTCGTTACAGCTGTTAGAGATGGTATGAACCTTACTCCCTACGAATATATTGTCTGTAGACAGGGTTTACTTGGATCTGAATCAGATTTTAGTGGCCCAAAGAAGAGCATGTTGGTTGCATCAGAGTTTATTGGATGTTCTCCTTCGCTTAGTGGGGCTATACGCGTAAACCCATGGAACGTTGAAGCTACTGGAGAAGCCTTAAATGAGGCCCTCTCAATGAGTGATGCTGAGAAACAGTTGCGACATGAGAAACATTTCCGGTATGTCAGTACCCACGATGTTGCTTATTGGTCAAGAAGTTTCTTGCAAGACCTAGAGAGGATATGTGTGGACCATTTCAAGAAAAGGTGTTGGGGGATGGGGATTAGTTTTGGTTTCAGAGTTGTGGCACTTGATCCTAATTTTAGAAAGCTTTCAATACCGTGCATTGTGTCTGACTACAAAAGGGCGAAAAGCAGAGCTATACTGTTGGATTATGATGGTACTCTGATGCCTCAAAACTCCATCAATAAAGCTCCAAGCCAGGAAGTTCTTAATTTCTTGGATGCACTTTGCGAGGACAAGAAGAATTCAATTTTCATTGTCAGCGGAAGAGGAAGGGAAAGCTTAGGAAAGTGGTTCACTCCGTGCAAAAACGTTGGAATCGCGGCGGAGCATGGATATTTCTTGAGGTACTTTTCTTCTCTACTGTTCATTAACACTTGTTTAAAGTTGTATACTTCTTCTCCTTCAGGGTTTAGTAAAATACCTTGTGTCTTTTCTATAGGTGGTCAGGCAATGAAGAATGGGAAACATGTGGGCAGAGCTCTGATTTTGGGTGGATGCAGATCGTGGAACCTGTAATGAAACAGTACACTGAATCTACAGATGGCTCTTCCATTGAAATCAAAGAGAGCGCTTTGGTTTGGCAATATCGGGATGCGGATCCAGGCTTTGGTTCGTTACAAGCAAAGGAAATGTTAGAGCATCTAGAGAGTGTTCTAGCTAATGAGCCAGTGGCAGTCAAAAGCGGTCACTACATTGTAGAAGTCAAGCCTCAGGTAAGTTAATTCTCTTCTGCTAAATTAAAGCATTTGAAGTTTTCAATTAATATCTAATTCTTGGAGTTTGTGCTCTTTGTGAATACAGGGAGTCAGCAAAGGATCCGTGTCAGAAAAGATTTTCTCATCAATGGCTGAAAAGGGGAAACCGGTTGATTTCGTGCTATGTATTGGAGATGACCGGTCTGATGAAGACATGTTTGAAGCGATTGGTAATGCGATGTCGAAAAGATTACTCTGTGATAATGCTCTAGTCTTTGCATGCACAGTTGGGCAAAAGCCAAGCAAGGCTAAATACTACTTGGACGATACTACTGAAGTGACAAGCATGCTTGAATCTCTAGCTGAGGCATCGGAGGCTTCAAACTTCTCTATGCGTGAACTTGATGGTGCCCTTTGATTTGAAACCAGATCTTTTGCCAGGTTTTGCCCTCTTATGATCTCAATTACAGTTGTATTTGCTCTGTTTCCGCAACATCGTATGGTCTTGTTCTCATAAACACTATCCATGAATGATGCATAGATGGCTAAAGAGGTTACACAGACAAAGACAAGGAAAAGAAGAGACAGGAGTTTGGTCTGTTTGTGTTTGTGTTTGAGATTGTGATTGAAAGAAAGAAAAGAAGAGAAGGGTAGTGAGAACTGAGAGTATTAATGGTAGAAAAAGGAGAAAAAAATGGTGATGTGAAGCTTTGTTCTTTTCAGATGTTATGTGAAGAGCAATCAATCAATCAATCAAAGGAGGAGCAAAATAGATGTTTGGTTTCAGGATGTTGAAGTAACAACAAGCAAAAGCTTTTCCTGATCTTTTCTCTTTCTTTTATTTTTTCTTTTATTGTTTATGATTATTATTGTTATTGTAATTGGATGATCTTGAGGATATCAATTTGGATTCGGCTGTTTATTGGATCTTGAACAAAAAAACTTAACTGTGAAAAAAAATAGTATGTAAAGATAACGTTGCGTGTCCATTGTTGACTTTTCATTTATTTTTGGGGTCAAATGTTGGCTTTTCATTTATTTATTATTCTTTGCGCCTTTCTTTGGAAATGGAAACTATTAAGGATGAAATAGAAAAACGCGAGCCCAATGGGGGTTAAACTGTGACTTTGAACCCAATGGGCCTGGCGTCTTTCTCGCTAACTGTGCGATCGCTTCGATTTTCTCAACTCTTTTTCCCTTTTTCCTTTTTTTTTTTGGTTGCATTGATGAGTAAGTAATAATGCGCGACTAATGATCTCGCAAAGGAAAAAAAGAAAGATTTTATGGAGAAGAAGAAGAAGAGTGTGGCTTCGATCCCGGACAATTACGTATCCATTCTTCAGCTTCAGGAACGTTGGCTGAAAGAGAAAGAGCGGAAACAGAAGAATCCAAAGTACTCAGTAGATAGAGGAGTGAAGGCGAAGCAGCAGGTTGATCATGGCCAGCGAAGAAGACAAGAAGAAAATGTAGTGACGGCCTCGAAGCCAAGTGTGAAGCCCGAGGAAAAGGGTTTAGGTGGAGGGTCTCTTATGCATTCTGCTGTAAATCGTTGTAATAAAGAACCAAAATGCGTTAAGAAAGATGAGCTTAAGGGCTCTGCAAATGTGAGCAACAAGGAAGAAGATAGAGGGGATCCGAGGGAGAAAAAGAAGAGTGATCCGACGAAAGAGGACACCCGGAGAGTTTTCACGGCCAAGGGAGAGCTTGCTGCTAAGGAAGAAACCAAATTTCAGGAACGCTGCTGGATCAAGAAGAGAGTAGAAGAGGAAGGAGAGACTAAAGAAGTCAAGGGACCTGCGAGGCTGACTAGCGGACAAGGTTATAGCCGAAACCAGAGACATGGTTGGTCGTCTACACGTGTTATTAGGGCACCAACTGGGACTATGGTGTGGGTGAAGAAGGGTAATAACGACGGGGATGCCGGTGAAAGTGGCGGCGTATGATTTATTGTTTAAAGGTTGGAACTTTGGATCATCTGTTTCTTGTAGGGTCTTAAGAGTGTCGAAGCTAAATAAATAATGTGTTAATTTATCATGGTCGTCAGGTGTTGTAGGATCATTATAACTCTCCCAGAAGCATTAGGTCGTCTAAGTCTAGGGTTTGTTTCATATCTTGTGTTAACTATTCCTTTGGGAATGAATTGTAGTTGGTGTGTGTAACTGGTACCAATTTAAGTGATGCGTGTACACAGATGTAAGTAATTCTGAGTAAGATTACGACCTAACATTGGTTTTTGTTTTCAGTTTTGTGTCAAAGTCTCTTGGGACTAGTAATTTAAGCATGAGTCTATGAATATGCATCAGTGTTCCTGAATTTGAAAAAGAGTTTCTTCTATCGAATTCGTATTATTATATATACTCCAACTAGGAAAATTATGATATACTTGTTACACAGTATGAGCAAGTGTCTCTAGATATACACAGAGATTGAGAGGTTTAAAAGGTCTCTTACTCAGACAGACGCTGGTGTTGGTGTTGATGTTGATGTTGAGGAAGCAACTCGGTTTTCAGGTGGGATTTCTGTGAACTCGGATAGGATTGCTCGGAATTCATCACCAGACATCGTCTCTTTCTCAAGAAGTATTTCAACAATCTTGTCCATGGCTTCACGATTGTTTCTAATGTGGCTCAAAGCTATCTCATATGCTTTGTCTGATAATGTTTTTACCGCGGAATCGATATCATTGGCAAGCTTCTCAGACATTGAGTTTCTTGCCATCATCCTCATAATGACATCGCTTTGACCCGATGAGTCCATTAGTGACCATGGTCCGATTTCTGACATACCAAATGTCGTCACCATCTGCAGGTCAATAACCAGATACTATCAATTTTATTCATTTTTTTTAACTAAAGAGAACAAAAACTGAAGCTTGGACTGTAGTTACCTGCTTAGCCAAACCGGTGATCTGTTGCAAGTCACCAACTGCTCCAGTAGTCACCTCAGAGTCACCAAAGATGACTTCTTCTGCGGCTCTACCACCGAGTCCACCAACAATTCTTGCAAAGAGTTGCTGCTTGGAGATTAGAGTAGGATCATCTGAGGGAATGAACCAAGTCAGACCTCTTGCTTGGCCTCGCGGTATCAACGTGACCTTTTGAACAGCGTCATGTCCTGGAGTCAAAGTTCTGCAGGAACAAACGAACTTCAAACTAAGCTCTTACTAACACAGACACACACTTCTAATCTGGATTGTGACTTACCCACATACAGCATGGCCAACTTCATGGTAAGCAACCAAACTTTTGCTCTTCCCATCTGTCATGACTGTTCCTTCCATGCCAGCAACAATTCTATCAATTGAGTCATCAATCTCTTTTGATGATATTGCTGTCTTTCCACGGCGGCCAGCCAATATGGCAGCCTCGTTCAAGAGGTTTGCAAGATCAGCTCCACTGAATCCAGGCGTTCTCATGGCTATTACTTCAAGTGAAACACCATTTTCAAATTTCTTATTCCCGGAGTGAACCTTTAGAATTTCTGTTCTTCCCTTAACGTCTGGAACATCAACAGATACCTGCATCAACAACAAGATACGCTAAGCAACCAGCAATAAAGAGGATCAATGGAGAGTCACAGACACAGGGTATTCCAATCAAATACATACCTGCCGGTCGAACCGCCCTGGTCTTAGCAAAGCGGAGTCAAGAATGTCTGCTCTGTTGGTTGCAGCAACTACAATAACACCAGTGTTACCCTCAAAACCATCCATCTCAGTCAGAAGCTGATTAAGGGTCTGTTCTCTTTCATCATTACCTCCACCAATTCCGGTTCCTCTTTGCCTACCAACAGCATCTATTTCATCCACAAAAACTATGCACGGAGCATTCTCTTTTGCTTTTTTGAAAAGATCACGGACCCTTGATGCACCAACACCAACAAACATCTCAACAAACTCAGAACCCGAGATGGAAAAGAAGGGTACACCAGCTTCACCAGCAATAGCTTTTGCCAACAGGGTTTTACCAGTACCAGGAGGACCTATAAGGAGAACACCCTTGGGGATCCGGGCTCCAACCGCAGTAAACCTCTCAGGCTTCTTCAGAAACTCCACCACTTCCATGAAATCTTGCTTAGCTTCATCAACTCCAGCAACATCATCAAAAGTTACACCAGTGTTTGGCTCCATCTGAAACTTTGCCTTCGACTGACCAATTTGAAGCGGGAAGCCAGGACCACCAGGGCCACCCATTCCACCAGAAGACCGCCTGGAGAGAAGAAATAAACCGCCAATGAGGATAACCGGGAATGCAAGATTCCCAATCAAGTTGAGTATTGGAGAACCTTGGTCTTCCTGAGCATTATGTGATGCGAAATCAATATTCTTTGCCCTCAACTTCTGGAGAAGCTCCTGACTTAATCCAGGTAGCTGCACGCGTACACGCTGAATACGGTTACCTAACTCAGGAGAAACAGCCTCTACAATAGCTATAGTCCCATTCTCATACAAATCAACTTTCTCAACCCTTCCCTTGTCTAAATACTCTAGGAACCTAGAATATGACATTCTAGACGAAGAAACACCTTGCCCTTGTTCGTCTGCATTGGCTTTTCCACTTGCAAGCAAACCCACTCCAGCTGCAGCGTTTCCTAGTAAGAGTTTAAAGAAACCTCTTCTTCCTTCTTGTTTCTTCTCATCTAAAGAAGCCTTCACAACTGTAACTTTAGATGCCCTATCAAGGCCAAGCTTTTGGGACCTCTGTTTGGCTGTGTAGACAGATAATCCACTCCCGATAAGACAAGCCGATGAAGCAGCCATCTGCACAGAAAAAATCAAGGGATCTGAAAGAGGAACAACAAAACAAAACGAGACATTGAACATGCAAATTTGTTGGTAACAGTATAATTCAACAACATGAACGACCAGTAGGCTACAAATATGAACGAAGGTTGGCACTTTTTATACTCCAAAGAGAAAATCTACTAAATAATACCACTAATATCCATTTAAACACATAAATCCACCATTCTTCGACATTCACTTGAAATACCTCAAAAAGTCATATTACGAAAAAACAAATACAGGCTTCCTGAACAAAACCCAGTAGAATCATGCAAAAGAATACCGGGATTTTTACTATTATTTTCAAAAGATTTGACAGATTCAGACCAACGAACCGGCGAATGCTTGAGATTAGAAAGATGAGCGAAGAGAGAAACGCACCTTGTAGTAGTTTGGCAGACGAAGAGAAACGCACCTGTTGTAATTTGGACACGAGAATGAAGAAGTGTCTGATTTTTAAGAGAAGAGATGTGGTTTTCGAACTGCTTACGTGGCTTTCTCTCAGTGGCCTCCGCGGTTTTAATCTGGCTGTATATTTTTCTTCTTTCGACAAGTCAAAAATTATGTAGAACAACAACAAAAAAAAAAAAAAAAGAAAAAAAAGACAAAAACAGGAGAGTTTTAGTAGAATAAGAGAAGCCACATGAAGCAATTAGCAACCAAGCAAAAATCCGAAGACGTATTGAGTTTGGATAGTTCCTTTCGACATAACCAACAAAGTACAGAAACAAAGACAGTTTTACATTAGTTTCGTATACAAGTTTTGATCCAAGTACTCACATATACATCAAGTCACTCGCCTTTCCTGTTTACACGTTTATCTTGATTTTTTTTTTTTTTTTTGTGCTTGTGAGCAAAACAATTGATCCGAAACGCGACAGAAACAGAGCTTATCTTAGATTGTCTTTTCCTCAATGGATTTGTGTAGCTAGAGCCTAGAGATGTTCGAGACTGATTGAGTCTCAGTGATCTCATCAACTCTCAAGTTTCTCATACACTTTCTTTAGCTTATACTCAAAAAGACTGACGAGAACTCAGCAATTTCATTCTTGTTCAGGCATACTTGTGCTCCCAGAGTCTGATAAAGCAGCATGGCGTCCCAATAGAACAAGGTCAAGAAGCTTCCTCCTTGCCTCGTAAACTGGATTTGGATCTATCAAACGTCCTCTCTCATAAGCCTCTCTGAGAAACACAGTGTGTCTTTTCCCTTTGGTTGACATATAAAACATGCCCGGGTGATCCAAGAACAAATCTCTTATGTTCAAATCAATCCCAAAACATTTTCTGAAATGGCTGATCTTTTCTACCTCCACCATCTTCTCTACAGTCAGACTGAGGAACTCGTGAGCAATCGCAACTGCTCTTTTCTCTATTCCCATCACACCGGATTTGTTCTTTTTCTTACCAACCATGTCCTCGTATGGCCCAACATAAGGCAGCCTCTGCCATTCCTTAACTTTAGCTTTAAAGTTCTTGCTCAGCCTCATTCCGGGTGGGTAACTATGTTTGAAACTAAACTGAATCTCGGTTCTATCAACAGTGCAGTCCTCCTTAGAACACTCAATCACCCTCCATTCCTCAACCGCGGCTTCAAATTCCAGTCTTTTCTCTTCTTCTTGAACCAGCTCTAAGATATGGGTATTGGGTTCATGACCATCACTAAGCCTAAAAAGATGAGGGTTCTTTGCGATGACAGAGTCCTCAAAATCATCTGGGAGCCCAAGTTCTCTCCAAACTTTGAAAACCGCACGAAGCGGGATTGACTTTGATATGGACATAGACAAGAGCCTAACCAACCGGTCAACAACGAGAGACAAAGTAGCAGTAATAGCCAAAGCCTCTTGGCGAGAAATCTCCCTGGCTACATCAGTTAACCTGCAAAAGGGCAGAGCTTTCACAGGATCATACAAGACATGAAAGATGTGAGGGTACTTGCGCAGAAAAGAAGCAGCGCCACGGTTAAGGTGGAGCTTCTGGGAGAGCCTGGAGAGAAAATCAATGGACAAAGAGGGAGGATCAGCTGTTGGATTGGCGAGGATAAGGTCTTGTATAGCAATGACCTTGAGAAGGTTCTTGTATTTGTCCATGAGCTTCTCGAAAACAGGGTCTCTCGACCTGGAAGCGACATATTGAGCAGACGTGGTAGTTGATCGGACGTTGATGACGGAACCACCACAAGGGTGAACCAGAAGTGATCTCATGAGGATGAACCTCATACTCTTTCAATCTCAAAGGGAATATGGAGCTATCTTGGGTATCAACGCTCCACAGCGTTACTATAATACACTCTCTGCGTAATTATATCGAACACCTTACGGGCATAGCAGAAGATCGAAAACTTGTTAACAACCAGGCGTGTTGTGGAATGTGGACTATATTGTATAAATATACAATTAATATTTTCAGAATTAGATTAATGTAATGGATAAATTTTGTGATATTTTAAAAGAACACAACAGCATACTATTACAAATACTCGACTAGATAAGTTTTTGACTGTAAAAAGAAATTAAAATAGTACGAAGCAATTTTTATATAATTAGTGTCAAAGCATTTAATAACCAACCATTCAAGTCCTTTGTAATTATTGAAAAGATTTTGATGGAAAACAAAAATCATAAGTTGAAAAAGTAATTGATTTTAAGGGATAACTTTTTTACTTTTTCAATAATTGATTTTAGGGGAAAAAAGTAGAAACGCCAAGAATTTCCAAATTCTTAAGAAAGTAAAAAACAGAAGAAGAAGAAGAAGCTAATTTCTAAAATCTAATTTTAACAAAAAGTTTAAGGAAAATAAAAAATCAGAGAGAATATAAACAGTCGAAGATACGAATACGATTAATTGGAGAGCAAGGTACATTAAACATGTTAAGTAATTAAATAAAAAGAAAATCCGAGAGAAAAGGAAACTCAGGTACAGAGAATATAATTTTTTTTTTTTGGTGGGATACAGAGAATATAATTAAGAAAAAAGGATAAATACTATTTTTTTTCTAAATTTTTATTATAAGGAACCCTAAAGAATGCCCCTCTAGCAGAAATCACAGAATCAAACAAACCGACTCGTCGTATTCATGCCTCTCCCTCCCAAGAAAAAAACCCTAATTTTGATCTGCACAAGACATGAACGAGATTCATCAGCCACCGATGGCGAGGAGGGTATGGAGGAGCAACGTCGATGACGAGATGGCTCGTATGAAGCTCTGTCTCAAGTCGTTCCCACTCATCGCATTCGATACAGAGTACCCTGGTATGATTATCCCTACTTTCATCGATTCATCTGACGAGGAATGGTTCATTGCCTTGAAAGGAAACGTGGAGAACACGAAGCTGATCCAGTGCGGTTTCACTCTTTTCAACTCCAAGGGTGAGATCGGTGGCACTTGGGAGTTTAACTTCTCCAATTTCGGCGACCCATCCGACTCACGCAACGACGCTTCCATCGAGTTTTTGAGGAGACACGGTCTCGATTTGCAGAGGATTCGAGACCACGGTATTGATATGTTCGGCTACGCCTTCTTCCCCAAGCTCATGGCCATGTTTCGCTCTCAGAGACTGGTCGAGTTCATCACCTTCCAAGGAGCTTACGATTTCGCCTACTTGCTCTGTATCCTCAACAATGGCAAGCTTCCTGACACTCATGGGGAGTTTGCATTGGAGGTTGTCAAAGTCTTTGGTCTAGTTTATGACACTAAGGTCATGGCTGGATACTGTCACGGGCTCGGTGAACACCTCGGGCTAAGCAAATTGGCCCAGCTACTTAACATCACTCGTGTGGGGAGAGCGCATCACGCTGGTTCTGACAGCTTAGTGACTGCACTTGTCTTCACCAAGCTCAAACAAGTCAATGACGATACCAGGTATGCTAAAGGACTGATCTACGGTATTGGGAAGAGAATGCTCCATACCGCCCCTGCTCCTGCCCCTGCGCCTGAGCCGCCTATTCCATTGATGTGTCAGCAGAACCTAGCTTCATATCTTATGTACCATAATGGATATGTCCCAAACTACGATCAACCTCAGGTTTACTACGTCAACTATGCCCCATGGAGGTACCATAATGGTGAGCTTGTGCCGTTTAATTATCATCCACCTTCAAGCACATTTACATACCCATCTCAGACAGTTGAGTACCATGGACCGCCTCCCAACTTTTACAATAATAATCCTTGCGCTATTGAGTAGATTAAGATTTCATGCTTTAGGATGATTAGGTGCATTTGAGATTTTTTTTTTCTTTTTCTTTTCTGGCTTTTGGTAGTAATGAAGGATTTATTTTTTATATATTTATCGATTGTTTACATGGCTTTACTTTATCAGCTGAGTAATGCCTGTCTGCAATCCTTGATATATAAAAGCAGACCAATCTATTTTACATATCTTTCTTCAGTGTTGACTTTTCTTCCACACAAACTGCACACATATTGACATATATATAATATTATATCACACATATCGTTTACCGTATGTATATATGGTTCCAGAACGATGAACCCTCAAAGCTTTGGAATAACTATTCTCAGAATCCCATCCCTGCTCCATATGCAACAATAAATTGGGTGTTAGTGCTCATAATGAAACTTGCTAAATCGTAGCTAACTAATTCAAACCTTGTGACTGGTAGGTAATAAGAGTTAAAACTGGAATCCGAAACCACTACTATTAGGAGGAGTGCATTAGCTAAAACTTACAGACATACTCTATCATATAAACCCTAGGAGAAGAAATGTAATATCTTAAGGTTGGATTGTTAGATACGTGTAGCTTCTACTTACATAAATTCAGCGGAAACATTATCCTTGTTCACATTCCTGGGGAGAGGCCAGGAAACTTTGAATGGTCCCTGTAGTATTTCTTGCTTATGATATCCAAGGATTGAAGCTTTGGTGCCTGCCTCAACTCTGTCTCTTTGACAGATAGATGTGCGTCTACCTGTCACAGTCAAGCTGCAGCAGAACGGTAAGTACCTTTGTTGTACGATGCATAGTGAAACTGATAAAGAGTAATGTGAACAAAGTGAACATATGTGTGAATATGGGTCTTAGTTAGTTACTTTATGTTGTCGACCTCCACTCTTATATCATTAATGCTGGCCCCTGGTAGCTCCATTGCCACAACATAGCTGTGTTCAGATTCAGCAACATTTGATCTCGGAGACCAAACAGTACCTGCAAAAATAAATGTTTATAAGCCCTCATGGTCAATGGTAAATACTGTATATGTTTCAAGTATGGTTGCTTGTTCCTGTACATGTAGCTCTAGATAAGGTTGGTGAGGAAATACCTTTACTAGTTTATAAGTTATAAATTATAATAATTGTGTGGTTGCAAAAACGTTTGCTAGCGAAGAAAATGAACAGGTCTTAGGATGAGAAAAGTAGTGTAACTGGAGTGGAATGTATCTGGTATCATGAATTTGTAGTCGTACCTAGATTGGCTAACTTAGGAAGATCAGGCTTAGGCATTTCTTTTTGCTGCTTTGGTGATACGGAAGAAAAAACGAACTCCTCTTTTGCAGGCTTAGAAAACTGTGGCGCGGCGTACTCAGGTGAAGAGGAATCGAAGCCAGTTGTTTTGGTGGCAGAACACTTGGTAGGTGCAGCATCTTGTGATATGGTCCTCTGCAAAAAACATTTTGAAACAATTCTCTATTATAGAAGTATAGAACTATTTGCAAATGTTTATCAGCAAATAAGAGGAACTTGAAAAAAAAGAATAGTAAAGGAAGTGATGGTACCTCATCAGTGAGAGCCTGCCTCATAAAAAAACCCTGTGCAGAAGATCCTTGCCGAGCAAAATACAGCCTATTGTCACACCTTCTAATGACAGAGTTCTTCAAAGTGATGCCTAAGTTCTGAAGCATAACAAGTGACAAAAGAGGTTATAATCACCAGAAAAGAAGGAATTTCAAAAAACATAATTAGGAAATTTTGGTACCTCATCATGGTCCTCATCGGTGGAAGCCTGCCTCATAAAGAAACCTTGTTCAGAAGATGCTTGCCGGGCAAAAGAGATTTTGTTATCACACCTTCTGATGACAGAGTTCAAACTGCTGCTGCAGTTCTGAGGATAACAAAGTGACATAAGTGTATGAGACCAAAAATAAAGGAAACATCAGACAAAACAAAGCTAATTGAGGCAGAATCAACAGCAGAGAGTATAAATCTATCATCTTAATCTATCCATCCATAAGCATGTCATAACTTTGAAGAATTTAACAACTTTCAGTTACTCCAGAGATTTTGTATTTGTAAAACTCTTGAACTTGGTCGATCTGATCCAATTTTGTTAAAGTAAAAATCACAGTGCGAGATTTCGAGATCAGGAAAACCATATTACGAGAAAACAAAGTCTGATTTAGCTTTGAGATAAGGAAAAGAGAGAGAGAAGGGAGATACCAAGGGGACGAGAGATGCGGGATCGTAAGTGGTAGCCGGGAAGTGAGAGGCGATGGCAGCGAGCCTGCGTCGAGCGGTGGTGGATTCAAGCTCCATCTCTCTCTCTCTCTCTCTCTCTGATGATTTCTTCGATACGTGGACGAACGAGTGGGGACTAAATGGATGAGAAAAATGAGTGGCTTCAACTTAGCGCGCGGGATTCGAAAATATCTTCTCAATCAAAGAAAGAGAATTTAGAAGAAGAAGAAGAAGAAGAAGATTTATTAAAAGATATTTTCTTCCGGAGAAATGGACAAGACTGACAACGACCCGTCTTTTTCTCAAAACACGCGAAAAATAATTACTAGTAATATTTCGAGAACTGTATTATGAATTATTATTTCCTTCTCTGAAAAATAATAATATATTTTCGTAAAGGTAAACGCAAGTTGCATTGTACAGAGTCCGAGTCCGGGCGGTAATGTTTTCGTAAAAATTCACCAAACTCCAACAACCAGCGGTTGCGATTCCAAAATCAATCTATCGGAAACACACACACGAAGTTTCAGCTGCTCCGATCAGATCTAACTAGCCGATTCCTCTCTCTCTTTGTGCAAGGTCTCTTTCTCTTCCCAATCTTGCTATATATTTTGATTTCTCCCTCTCCGGATTTATGATTATGTGCACTCGCCAGCTTTGAGTCTGTGATTTGTTTAGCTTACTCCCGATCCAGGTTCAGATGAGCTCCCTTTTCGTTAATGCCTTTGAGCTCCTAATCATTCAAAGCTTTTCCTGATTTAGATTGCTCGGGAGTTTCAATCTTGTTTTCGCATTTCACCCGATTTCTTCATGATACTCAGATTCATCCCTTTTTGTTTCCTTCTTTGTATGTGTTTGCCTTTTCTAGGTTCCTCTGACGCATTAAGCTCTATTCTTCAAGCAGCCTGTTACATTTTTGTTATCTCATTCTTTTTCGTTTTTTTGCCTAGCGTTCTCAGATTTGCTGATGCTATAGTTATCAAATTGCTCTCTCTGTTAATTTATTTTGTCAGACATAAAAAATGTGGCTTATTTTTATTCGGTTTGAAGATTCTGTGTTTTAATCTTTGCGTCGGCGTATTAGAAACTTGCCTTTGATTGACATGTGGCTCTTTTGTGACTGCTGGCTTTGTGTTTGTGATTCTAGGTCAAGTGTCAACTAGTAGCTGATAATTGCTTTGCATATTCCCTAACATCTGAAGTTCCTACCTTCCTTCAATTCAGTTAGCCCTCTGGGCTATGCAGAGGACATTTTGAACATATATAAATGAGTATTGGATCAAAGAGGATAGATCTCTTCGAATTCTGAGGCAGGGAAGCTGTCCATCACAGGTCCCTGTTGAGTAAATAAAGGCTGTGATTACTAGATCGCATGCTCTGTCAGAGTGATCTGTGAATGGTAGCCAGAAAGGATAGCTGGTGAGTTCAGATTATTGATGGAGCAAAGAGTGCAGCTCCGTGGTGGTACAATGGAAGCTATATCCAATCAGGGAGATGTAGACAGAGAACAGGTTTTAGAGCCCTTTGATATTGAAAATGAGACCGGGAAGGAGATAAACGGCTCCAGAAGTTTTGATGTTGAATACAGTTCCACTGATAACCTCGAAACATTGCCAAAAGTGTCAAAAGAAGATATCTCTCCTGCTGATGTGCTTAAAACACTCTTCTTTATACTTGTATGGTACACGTTCAGCACATTTTTGACTCTGTAAGTATGTCTTACGACTATCCCTTTGCTTTTTCTTCTTTTGGTTCCTTACGGCTAGCTTATAATTTGCTTGCTTATTTCCTAGGTATAACAAAACTCTCTTAGGAGATGATTTAGGGAAATTTCCAGCTCCCTTGTTAATGAATACCATTCACTTCTCTATCCAAGCTGTTTTATCAAAGATGATAACATGGTATTGGTCAGGGAGATTTCAACCTGATGTTACCATATCATGGAGAGACTATTTCGTTAGAGGTAAACTAACAAAATCATGTCGTGTACTCTTCCTTTTTTTTGTTTTCAATGTGTTAAGGAGAATTCCAATAGCTATGACTTTCTATGGTATTCTCACTACATAGTACTGACTACTGAGAACTTTCGGAAAATTGTGCAATGTCATTACCATCTATAGTATTAAATGAGGATGAGAGATTGGAAAGTTCTGAGGATTTAGTTTTCTTTTTTCCTGCTTTTTGAAAGTTGGTATTATTGAATTTCTAAGAACTGATGACCCACATGGACTGTCCTTTCACAGTTGTACCAACAGCACTTGGAACTGCTATGGATATAAACCTAAGTAATGAGTCACTTGTCTTCATATCGGTTACGTTTGCAACTATGGTTAGTTATCTTATTTGCTGTGGTAGGTCTATGCAACTTCTTAGGAATTTGCGGGTTAAACAAGGTGAGACTTGTCTAATGATATTCACGTTTTCTTTTTTCATTTGCAGTGCAAATCTGCAGCCCCAATATTCCTTCTTCTGTTTGCTTTTGCCTTCAGGTGCTTTATCCATAACGATTTTTTGTTAAGTTATCTTGATTTGACGTTAAAACGTAATAATGCTTCCGTTTACATATTTATCTTTACTTAAAAACATCACATTTTCAATCATCACACTGATTTGTTGCTACACATTCCTTATGGAGTATTTCTATCACGTTTATATGATTTAACATCATATATGTGCTATTCTGACACTATATTTCTCTTGTAAGGCTGGAGTCTCCAAGCCTGAAACTTTTTGGCATTATTTCAGTGATCTCAGCAGGAGTGTTGTTAACAGGTATGTCCTCCGTCATTTATAAAACTTTGTATCTTGTTATTCAACCTTCGCCAGTTGTTCTACGTGTTTTCTACAACATTTATCTTGTTTTTAATTGCTATTTTTTTAATCAAACCATTAAATTAACTTGTTATCTTCTCACCTTCAAAAATATTAATTTGCATCCAGTTGCAAAGGAGACAGAATTTGAGTTTTGGGGTTTCGTTTTTGTCATGCTTGCTGCTGTCATGTCTGGTTTCCGCTGGTGTATGACGCAAGTTCTTTTGCAGGTATATGATTAAACTCAGTTTAATTTCTTTTAAACTATACATTGGATCTGTATATATTAACCCTTTACCTCTACTTTCTGTGGTTTTTGTCTTCCAATGTTTTGGTTCATCCTGATGACAACATGATGTGTAGAAAGAAACCTTTGGTGGGTTATGCTCTTGGTGTTTTCTAATCTATAAATTGTGTTCTTAATATCTAAGAAGTCACATGACCTATGAATAAAATATAAACATTTTTACTTTGTTTATCTAGGCCTGAAAAATCCATTCATATTCATGAGCTGCGTTGCACCAGTGATGGCTATAGTGACTGGTCTTCTCTCTCTCCTTCTGGATCCTTGGAGTGAATTTAGAGACAATAAATACTTTGATAGTGGACCACATTTTGCTCGAACTTGTTTTTTGATGCTTTTTGGCGGAGCTCTGGCTTTTTGTATGGTGAGCATTTACCAAACAATTTACAATTCTTATTGTAAGAGTGAGCTTGTCTTGATCCATGTAGGTTGAGGCATCTTTTGAGGCATCTGATCCTTCTTCCATGCTCACTATTTAATATTTCCTTTCAGGTTTTGACAGAGTATGTTCTTGTTTCTGTGACCAGTGCTGTAACTGTCACAATTGCGGGAGTTGTTAAAGAGGCTGTCACCATAGTGGTATGTCATTATTAGTCTTTTTATGTTTGTTAGTATGTTTCAGCCTTCTTCTTAGTTTTCCAGTTATATATATATGGAATATTAGGTGAATCTTAGAAACGGATAATCTAACTGGTTAGGCTTGGATTGTAAGTTGAGTACCTTCTATTCGTAACTATATTTGCTTGAAACCTTGCGGTGATGTCTAGAGAAGGGGACTCATATCTTAAGTTGGTGAGACTACATTGGTGATATGGCATACAAATAGACAGACCTGCCTGGGGTCCGCTTCATAGGATGGATTATGCGTTCGTCATGTTCAGCCTTATGATATTTTTATAAATCAAGACTTGTTTAAAAAAAGGAGACCGATGAAATATAACTTATGTCTTTAGAATTAACTTCTCGTTCACCATAATACACCTTTAACTACATGTCCCCGTATCCAGAGGACTTTTATACCAGTGTTACTGTTAAATATTTGATGAATGGTAGAGCCAATTGGAGATGTAAAAATATGCATTGTTGTTCTTATACAGGTTGCAGTGTTTTACTTCCATGACGACTTTACATGGCTAAAAGGTATTGGTCTGATGATCATCATGGTTGGTGTCAGTTTGTTCAACTGGTACAAGTAAGTAAATTTTCTTCTCCTAGTCCTTAGTCTTTGTCGCAAGGAGTATGGAACTTGGAATAAGTTCTTTGTATAAACATCTGATATGCTGATGACTAGAATCACACATTTATTGTATTTGAAAAACCGGTATGTGTTTTTTGATGTCTTCCCAGATATGACAAACTACAAAAGGGTCACAAAACAGAGGGTGACAAGCAGCTGGAAGCTCCAAGTCAAACGGGAAAATATGTCATTCTTGATGAGCTGGATGACCAAGAAAACAGTCCCTAAACAATTTTTGTTACACACATGTTCTCTGGTAACCCTATTAGGTGTTACATCATTAAAGTGGAAGCATGTGGACCTTCCCTGAGATCATACTAGAAATACTTGTAAGGCAATTGAATTGGAAATTTGATGTTTCCCTGTCCTGCCTAAAGAGAAACAGAAGAACATAGCCATATCAAGAGCTTAAATGAATTTTGTCTTCATTTTTTTTTATATGTGTTAGTTAGTTTGGTCCGTATAGACAGAAGTAAGTAATCGATCAAACTTGGTTTAATTTTTTAACCTATCTCGTGTACCCATTTTATTGAGTCTCTGTAATGATGATGGATCTCAAATTGAATTACGGACTCTTACGAGTCCAAATGCGCAAAATACAAACTGAAAAAATCTGATCTGAAAGGATTGTCTAGGTCTACGTAATGGAATGGAACGGAACGATCAGATTACATGGTATAAGCTTTTATTGTATAAAATATGAGACTAACACTACACCTCAGAACAAATATGAATAGCGAAAGAATAATTGAAGGAGAGAAAGCAAAAAAAATTCAGATGTGGCATCCGCAACAAAGGTAGAAGAAGCAGAGCGTCGAAACGAGAACGAGAGCTTCGACTACATACATGACCTTGTAAACTACACCGTCGACAATATCTGTCAGCAAAATGATCTCTACTCGCTTCCACTTCCCCGACGACGTAGAAAACAGATTCCTTAATCGCCGCCATGTCTGAGTTTCTTTAGCCGTGACTTGTTCCTCCTCCTCTTGGTGCTGCTTCTTCTTCTTCACCGATGCCCACTTCTTCATCACTCCCATTGTCTCTCTCTCTCTCTCTCTCTCTCTCTCTCTCTCTCTCTCTCTCTCTCTCACTACTAATAATTAATTACTACAGAGTAATGTCAGGGTGCAACATTCTTTATACTGTGAGGGAAGAGACGGTGGTAGTCTGGGGAATAGGTATGAGAAGAAGAGGGTATTATTGTCAAATGTGAGTAAAGAAAAGAATAAGATACCCTTAACTTTTTTTTTCTTCAGAAAAGGCAAAAAATAGCTGGCGAAAGGTGGGAACCGTGGAGGGGAAGCAGGGGTATTTTGGGTATTTGCTTATTTTATAAGAACGGTCCAGCGGTTTCGCTTTTTATACAGAGGGATCCACCGAGACAATGCTAACGGTCGTTTCTCTTCTTTTTTTATGACATTGCTTACAAATGTCACACTTTGTATGAAGAATGTCTAATATTATTATTCTAAATAAAAAATGAACATAGATTATCTTTATTCATGTAATGATGCATGTATATTATATCCTGTTTGTATGCAAAACAGCTTGTCAAAATTGAGTTCCACGATAATGAAAGGCAACCTAGCTAGTTGTCACTATCCACATTTTCTAACATTACAAGAGAGCCGTTCTTTTTTTATCAATTGATAGTTCTGAAGTTAGCTTGTTCTTGTTTACATAGGCAGCTTTTAGGTTAGTAGTATAAGATATGATCATGTTTTTAAGAACCCAAAAATGTAAAGTATATAACATAGGCAGTTTTAAGGTTGTACTTTGATATTTAGGTTTGACACGACCCGACCCTAACTATTTTTCACGTAAAATGTGGAGCATGAAATAATTTGTAGCTCAAATGGCTATTTTATTTTATTTTTAAGTTTTTAACTGAAGTCTGGATTACTTTGACTTTAGAATCAATAGTTTTGGACTTTGCTAAGAAGATGTTAAACGGTTGTTGTTGTTGTTCCTAGAAAAACAGAAGACCAAAGAACCAGAGCGTTTATTTGCGTTGTTGACGCAGCTTATGAAGTTTTGTTTTCTCTTATAAAATGATTGGTTAAAGAGGATTCTTCTTAAAATCAACTTAGTTTTGTAATGTAAGTATGTAACTTGTATTCCCCTCAACACATACATGTACGATCATAAATTCTTATTTCCCATGCTCATGCCTTTGACTGGGTTTTATTTGTAAGAAATGCTAATATTAATGGTAGTTACACTTACGGGGATAGTATAAAATTATTTTATTAAAGATAAAATTGTTGTTAGCTTGTGTAGTAGCAGTTTAGAGTCGAGTCGTGCGCAATAGTAGGTTGAATAAGTCAAGGTTGGTAGCTGGAAAACCAATTTGACCGTTAAGAAAGTTGATTTGTCCAGATATTTTGGTTAAGCCGAGAGATTGAGATTTTCTTTCTTTTACTGCTAGGAATTATTACGACATACGTACGAACAGTTTGGTGTTACCACCTTACACTTTCTTCAGAACTATTCTTGAGATCTATCTGTTATATCTGAAGATCAGAAGATGGAAACTGTAGGAATGTAAATGTACAATAAATAAAACTTCAACTATAGATTTTGCCAGTGTGGAACTGTTCAATGTTCATGGACATGTTGACAGGAAATTATATACATGCTCTGAAACAGTTGTCATATACATATCTTTTCAAAATCTACTTTTTAAGAAATTAACAAAAGAGACTGTTTCACTATTAACATAAGAACTCGAACTTAAATATTTCAAAGTGTTTGGTTATAGTTAACAAGCACGAAGGCCCATTAGCTCAGTTGGTTAGAGCGTCGTGCTAATAACGCGAAGGTCGCAGGTTCGAAACCTGCATGGGCCAATTATTTAATATTCTTTTTTGTTAAACACATTCTCTTAAACGAAAACATTTTCGTAAACCCATTAGTCGGCCCAACTAAGAGTGGTCCAACTGTTAGAAACCCATTAGCACGGTAGCAACACTCGTGGTTTACAACTCCGTGTCGTTTTGCGAACATAATAATGTCACGTTGTTAGATACTACTAAAAAAGTAAAACGACATGTCGTGTATTTAGATGCCCTGTAGCCGTTGCGTGGCCGTCTTCTTGCTCCGCTTTGCTTCTCCGGGGAAAGAGAAAGAAGATAAAATCACACTACTAGAGTTAAAAGGAGAAAAAAGGGATTCAAAAACCTCGTCCTGGGTTTGCTTTCGTACCTATTTAAGGGCAAAAGCCACAGCTCAAAAGCGGCTGAAAGTTAAAAATTCAATTATTTTGTCTGTGTATAAAGGAAGACACAAATCGGGAAATCATATTTTTTTTTTTTGTAGTTTCTCCTTTCTCCTTCATTCGTTTCTTCCTCGCAGAGCAATCGCATTACCCTAAACCCCACTCCACGAATCTCATCCTCATCTCCTATTCCCGCTTCCTCTTCACGCATATATATAAAACCAGAAAAGGGGGGGGGCGAAGAACATGGGTATTAAGATAATCTTCGAAGAGGAATCTGTGATTGTTCAGCTATGGCGAGTACTAGTGGTGGTCGAGGTGAAGACGGGAGGCCGCCGCAAATGCAGCCGGTTCGGTCTCTATCTCGGAGGATGACACGAGCTGGGACGATGATGATTGATCATCCTAACGAAGATGAAAGTGCAATTGACAGCGAGCTTGTTCCTTCTTCTCTTGCTTCCATTGCTCCCATTCTTCGAGTTGCTAATGATATTGAAGAAGATAACCCAAGGGTTGCTTACCTTTGTATGACTTTTTATCTCTCACTCAGTTGGTTTTTGCTCACAGTTTGATACATTGGAAGGAGTTTTTTGCTTTCTTCCTTTTTCTGGGTTTGAGTTTTTCAACTGGAGCTTAAATCAGTTTAGAGTTACTTATTACAGAGGCAGTGTATCCCATTCTGTTATTGATATAACGAAATCTTGAATGCATTTGGGAAGTATTGTGGCCGTGAATGAGAATGTCAAGGTTCTTACTTTACTTTATTTTCTGCCATTAGGTCGCTTCCACGCATTCGAGAAGGCTCACAGAATGGATCCAACATCAAGTGGAAGAGGCGTCCGTCAATTTAAGACCTATCTATTGCACAAATTAGAGAAGGTATATAAATTACATGATTGACTAGCTTACTTTTGGATGTATCTTGAGATCATAGTTCTTGAAAATATTATTTTATTTTTTTAGGAGGAAGAGACTACAGAACCTATGTTGGCTAAGAGTGACCCGAGAGAAATTCAGATGTACTATCAGAAGTTCTATGAGAATAACATACAAGATGGAGAAGGGAAAAAGACACCGTGAGATCTCTTCTTAATATCTTGTAGTCGTCACATGAGAAAGGTTTAAATGATGTCTCTTAATACTTTTGCTTCTGTCGGTTTTGTTTTTATAGGGAGGAGATGGCCAAGCTTTACCAGATAGCGACCGTCTTGTATGATGTTCTAAAGACAGTGGTTCCTCAAGCAAGAATAGATGAACAGGTCAGTTAGTGCTCCCTTACATCCCATGACGACTGTAATTTTGTTACTTGACATTTTGCTGTTGTTGGAATGCAGACTCGTAGGTATGCTGAAGAAGTTGAAAGAAAGAAGGAACAGTATGAGCACTACAACATTCTTCCCCTATATGCTGTAGGGGCTAAAACCGCTGTAATGGAACTCCCTGAGGTTAGAAGTGCAAATTTATTCTGAACTTTTTCATCATTTTAAACTCTCATTGATGTTTAATAAATTGTTTTCATTAAAATTTAGATTAAGGCGGCAATTCTGGCTGTCTGTAATGTGGACAATCTTCCTCGGCCAAGATTTCATTCAGCCTCGACCAACCTGGATGAAGTGGATAGAGAAAGTGGCAGATCTTTTAACGATATTCTCGAGTGGCTTGCATTGGTTTTTGGATTTCAGGTAACTTTCAAGTTTCATTCTTTGCTATTTTTTGTCTTTAAGTTTTTATTCCATGAAATGTTTCATGATTGGTGTTCCCATCTTCATGGTGAAAGCGAGGAAATGTAGCTAATCAGAGGGAGCATCTCATACTGCTACTTGCCAACATTGATGTGAGAAAGAGAGATCTCGAGAATTATGTCGAGGTATTTTAGAACACAAATCTTTTTTCTAAAAGAGATTACGTGCAATTTACTAACTTAAAAGGAAAATCTAGTTGAAGCCTAGCACCGTGAGGAAGTTGATGGAAAAGTATTTCAAGAATTACAGGTCATGGTGCAAGTATTTGCGGTGTGAATCGTATCTGAGGTATTATAAAATAAATGATCTTCAGCTCGATAAATCAAGTTACTAACGTTTCTGGGAGTTCAATAATTCTTTCCTTTTCATCTCTTCTACTCTAAATTTTGTCTGTCTACTGGTGGATGGTTTTTCTATTGCAGGTTTCCTCCAGGTTGCAATGAGCAACAGTTGAGCCTTCTATACATTGGCTTGTATCTTCTCATATGGGGTGAAGCATCAAATGTCCGCTTCATGCCTGAATGCCTTTGCTACATTTTCCACAACGTAGGTTCTTTAAGCTCACGTTCTTCCTTTCCAGTTATATGTTTATATGATGCTTCTCCCAGTAAGTTCAAATAAACTTTAAATTCAAGATCCCATTACAATTCAAGATTAAAAAGTGATATCAACGAGTTGTAAGTTGAGGAAGACAAAAAGTTGAATTGCAGACATTACTTGTGATTTGATTAGAATAGTTTGAAGGAACCAAGAATGATAAATTTCTCCAGATGACAAGCAAGTAGCAACACTTACACCTTATGTAAATGTGTATTTATGTTGCCTAACTGTTCTACGTGATTTTAGTTGGTAATGATGTGATATACAAAAATGTTGTAAGATCTTGTAATGATGCTTGCATATCTTTAATGTCTACCTGAGAGTTACGAAGGGAAAAGTCCTTAAATTACTATTCTCTTGAAAGATTTTATGGCAAATATGTCGAAATGTAAAGAATCTGTATTACAGTAGGCCTACATTTTAAGTAACTATGCTGTTTTCTTAATCTTCTTGTGAAGATGGCCAATGAAGTCCATGGAATTCTGTTCGGCAATGTGTACCCGGTAACTGGGGACACATATGAGGCAGGTGCACCTGACGAAGAAG